GTCCCATCAATGGCGCCTGACTTTGAAATTTCTGAGATTTGTAATTTAGAAATCTTCCATTTTTATCAATCTTGGAAGATGCAGGAGAGGAAGAAGAGAGAGGGAAAGTTTAATTTGAGTGGTGGGTGGTTTTGGTTGGGGGAAGATATAAAACATTTTATATTATTAACTATGTATTAATTAATTTAATAATTACTAATTACCACCTGATTTATGAAATGAAAATTAATTCCCTTTATTTCTGAAAACTATTGTTTAAAAGTAGGTTTCTAGGTAATTTTCTCTTTAAAAAAACACAATTATCATCATGCTAACACAAGAAAAGAGAAACATTAATTCTATCATTCTTGTTTTATGTATGAATTTTTATTGAAGACTAGAAAATTGTACAACCGTGGATTGTGGATCAGAATTGTTCTTTGTAAAATTAACTAAAGGTATTATTCTTGCCACTATTTTTTTTCTAAACACAAAGCAAATTTTTGGTGAGAATTGAATTATGAAATACCTAAGTTCGTTATTGCGTAGTGGCTACTATTTGTGAGCTTCGAAGTTTTTTGATATGCCAACGAGTGATTAATTCATTACGACCATCGCATTGGCATGTCGGGAGCTGACATGAATTGAAGTAGCGAACACGTATTTTGGTTCATAATTTATCTCCTTACAGCTTATCAATAGGTTAATGGCCACTTGAGTATTTTCTTTAGATAACAGTTTAGGGTTGGTAACGGTTCGGTTATGGGTCGGTTCGGTCAAAACCATAACTGCACCATCAAATTTTTGACCATACCATAACCGCACCATAACCACGTAAATCGGTTCAGTTCGGTTCGGTTTTTATCTCGGTTCGGCACGGTTCGGTTCAATTAATAACCACGAAAATAAATTATTTTTTATAGGTTCATCCGTCAAATTGATATAAAACAATTTATGAAAAAAGTCAATGAAAACAAAAACACAATATTCCAAACGAAAATGCAAACATTATTAAATAATATTCCAAATGTAAATGCAAACATTATCCTAATTTTCAATTGTAAAATACAAATTTAACAAACAATATTATAAATATAATAATACTAAACTTTTCCTTCATTATTAATTGTTGTGCATCGAAGTTACTTGATGCATTCTTCCCTACAAGTCTTACTAGCATAGATCAGCATTCAAAGTTGATTCCTATTCATCCTTGGCAATATTGGCACGTCTAGAAAAATATCGAACTCTATTTTTACATGATCAGTAGTAATAGAATGACTAACAAATGTAGCAAATTTTCGGAGGCGACGACGATTTGGACCATAGAGGCAATGGAGTCGTGCGTGAGTGTGTGGTTGTGGAGAGTAAGGTTTGCATTTATATACTGTCATACTAATACTATTATGGGCTAATGGTAAGTAGACTGGCCGAATAAGTCAGGTAGATGTAATGAGGAGGGGAGGGATTTTGTTTTGATTTGGATAGAAAAGTAGTGTAAAGCCCATTATCAATTCAATTTTTTTTTAGCGGGTAATCGGTTCGATTTCGATTCGACGACGTAAATACCATACCCGCACCATTACGAACCGGTTCATTAAAATCAAAATCATATCCGCCCCATTGCACCATTGGTTCGGTTTTTTCGTCCCATTCGGTTCGATTAACCGCGATTTTCGATTTTGACGGTTCAAATTGTCATCTCTATAACAGTTTAACAATGAACTCAATAGTTGGGGACACCTCAAATCACTACTTCCACGATCATATCACATAGAAAATGTTTTAAAAATGTGAAATGCAAATAATATAATAATTAGAATGACAAAATGGTTATTATAGTCCTAATTTAATGATTCAACTTCCGATCGAGTGATACATATAGACAACAAGTCAAGAGGATATAAGTTGCATAGAATTAGTTTATGTTGCTTTTGTCATTTTATATTTCAAATTCTCGCGAGTTAGTGAAATAAGCGGAAACTAATAATTAATAGGAGCAGTCTCATATAGATTTGAATAACAATAATTATTTAGTATAAATTATGTAAATTCATTTGGATTCCCATAATACTTCCACAAGAAGTTATACATTTAGCCCTTGTTTGGTCCTCAATATATCTAAAATACATTTTTCTCTTTTTTATTTTCAACCTCACATTTTTCAATAAAATAATATTACACATAATCCAAAAACATTTTTAAATTTTTAATCCCATATTTTTCATCAAAATACTATTCCAAAATATATTTTGGACAACAAATGGGCTCAAACGGGCCCTTAATTACATTACCTATAAAGTTCAGGGACCATATATGCAGAAAAAATGACAAAATAGAGCTAGAAAGAAGTTTAATCTCTCATATTCCACAAATTTGTAATATTAAGCTCCTATTATCTGATGTTATATTTTTGGAATAATTTTTTTTTTTTAGAATGTGTGGTTGAAAAATAAGGAATTTTTATTTATTTATATGTAATATTATTTTTATTGAAGAATGTGTGGTTAAAAACAAGAGAGTGAAACATGCATCATAAATTTAATATGGCTCAAACGGGGTCTAAAAATAAAAGACTCCGAATATCTACTTTTTACATTAAGACATTGCGTTGAAAGTAATTGAGTAATTCCTAAATACTTCATATGATTAATTTCATTGAGAATAAATCTATTTTTACAATCATTTTGTACAACATTGTAATTGTCAAAAAAGTGTTGGTGAAAAAGATGAATTATTTTTAAAACTGTCAAATGATAACATGCCACGTGACATGTTATTAACAATGTTGTCAAAATCATTGTACATCAAGTATAATTCCTTGATTGTTATAACGCAAATATAGTAATTTAGTAAAAAGTCTCAAGTCATGTGTTGTTAATTGAAAGATTTATTGTCTAGGTTTTACTTATTTTTCCAACACAAAGAATACCGAAAAGAGATCGAACATTGGAAGAAAATTCCAAACCAAACGCAACCAAGGAAACGACTAACTACTGCAGAGTTCAAAATAGTGACAAACCATATAAAATCTAAAAAAGAATCAGATGGTGTTTGAAAGGCATTTTTATGTAAAAATGTATTTTTGAATAGTCAATTGATGGGAAATGTGTGGTTGAAAAACAAGAAAAAGTTTTTGATTAAAAATAATATTATTTTAATAAAGAATGTGTGATTGAAAAAAAAAGAGAGAGAAATGTATTTTGAAAAAGGGGTACCAAACGGAGCCTAAAAATTAAAACACCCTCACAATAATCAACTAAAGACGACAATATAAATAAAAGTAAAAACAATAAAACATATCAATGCATCTCATCACCACTCGAGTCAATGAAATTTTGTGTATATATAGTTATATATTTATAATTGATTTGTAGACATATAATTAATACAATTCCACAACATAGCTTATAAATTACACGAACATTTAACCATCACATACGAGAGAGTTCAGTATATAGTCCCCATTTGCTGCGCATTTTTGAAGAATGAAAATTAGATTCTTGATTGTTGGAACATACTACCCCAAGCCAACTATGAGAGGCAAGTCAAAAATGTTATGCCATGTGAGGCCCTTCAACGGCTCTATTTCTTCCAAAATTGGAGGAAAAATCTGACCCAAACAGGGGCACGGTATATTAGCGACAACAAACCATATACATTTTTTTTTTGAATTATATATTTCTTGTTAACTCTATAAACCTAACATATATTTTTTTCTCAATTAACTTGTTCGATTCAATATTATGATGGCAGGCTCACAATAAATAAAGAAATAATAAACTTTAGTCGGTGAATCGGCAACTTTTGGGACCCAAGTACCGTAATTGATTGAAACAACATCATCAATTATAATCAATATTATCGTCATACACAATTTTGTCCTAAATTATGAACTAACATTCATTTTTTTTTGTCACAATCTCATGTAATAATATTGTCGATGACCCTTTTGTTAAAAATCGCAATAAATCTTCTAAGTTCTGAAACTCCTAGATCGAAAATAAAGATCGATATTAAGTTTATACATGAATTTTTAACCAATTGATTTTCGCTGTTAAAATAATTTACTAAAAAATGCTTTCATTTTTTATGTCAATAAGTTCAAATTCAATAAACAGCCGTGATTCTCATGCTGCAATGTTGCTCGTAAACAGAAGGTTTCAACTAATTTTCTATAAATATTTCGTAAAATTAGACGAAAAGTTAACATATTTTTGTGAATTTCTTGGACAATTAGTTGTGAATAATAAAATAGAAATTTCCTTTGTGTACCTCTATGTTGTGGAACCATGGAGTCTATTTAAGGCGTTTGGACCGTTTTCAATCGTATAACTATTTTTAGCCAAACAAGATGAATTATGTTTGATTTTTAAGCAAAATTAAACAAGTTCTCAACGGTTAGTAAGAGGACGTTAAAATTTGCATAGAACATCTTTGTTAATACTCTTTAAAATTAAAGAGCATTTATATTAAAATAAGAGCAAATTTTTAGAAAATTTTGATAAAAGTTGATTGACGACTGTGTGCTTTAAAAGTTATTGATATCAATTATAGTTAATTGTTGATTTAGACTTAAATTTTAAGCTGAGCCATTGTTTGGGGCATATTATTTGTCTCATTAAAATAAAAATTCTAGCCGTTGTACGTAAAGTTTGTCCTTATACAAGAGATGAGAAGTCAACAAAAACAGCTGAATGTGATGATTAACAATCAAAAATTTCAAAATTTATTTATTTATTTATTTTTTTTTTCAATAATGTGCCTGAAAGAGGAGGGGGATAAATCAATCATGTCATGCGCCAGTCTGATCTGATACTGGGCCTTAGGATTTTTTAGATAAGAAGCCCAAACTTCAGGGCTTGGGGAGGCCCATCATCTTCACCCGCAAAAGTTCGGGTTGCTCCATTTCAATACGAAATGGCCGTACTGTCTTGTACCTATACCAAGGCCACGTGTTGAGAAGCCATTGGTTGTCACATGTCTGATATGACTTTTACGGCTGAACCTTCCCAGGGTAAAAGCTTCTCCAAATCAACTGAAATTAAATCCATCACATTCTCTCTCATTCCATTCATCTATCTCTAAGCGGTTTTTCTACCTAACTTTGTGTCTAAAGTTAAGCCTAAGCTGACTTGAAGCTTTGGTCCACTGTGATCCTGTTCTCCATGGCTGATAGCGGATCGAATAATTTAGGGTTTCATCCAGGTATGATTTCGAACTCTTCTTAATTTAACGTTGTCCTTTTTTATCACGCCTGTCTTTTGATTTCTGAAAAATTACAGCATTCTACGGTTCGAAAGTGTAAATTTTTACTGAATTCCAGCTTTCGAATGGAGAAGAGTAAAAGGGTTACAGTCTTTGTTTGTTCCCCTAGAACGTGTTGAAAGGAAGTATATGATGGATAACGGATTTGAAATTCAGTTGGGTTGATCAAATATATCTTTCAGTATAATTTTTAGTTTTTATAAGTTTACGTCCGTCTGCTACTACTTGGTAAATAAGGTTTTTGTTTTGAGTGAAGGCACTTATATAGGTATAATTATGTTGACATTTTAGATTCTAAAAGACCAAACCCTGTCAACTGCATTACGCAATAACTGCAAGTGGTTGAGCAAATACAACCTTTTGAATTTTAGACCATAAAATTTTTTATTTGGAACTGCTTGGCTGCAATTTTGTATGCGTTCTTTTGAAAGTCAATTTATTCTCATTGCCACCCCTATCCTGGAAAACAGATGAATACAGCATAATTTACGATGATCTGAGGTACCATAAGAACCCCTTGGTTCTGAGTTGTGCATAATACTGGACTCATAACTTGGCTTCCAAGTACTTTCATGTTGTGTTTATGTGGATGCCTGTTTTCATCTATACCAGTACATTTGATCAAATTATGTTTGAAATGGATAGGATTCATGTCATCTGCTCAAAAGAATCTGAATATTCCAATATTTAATCAGTAATCAGATTGTAACCTTTGTCATTAATTTAAATTTTTTTCTCAGTAAACCTAAGATGTTAAATTCCTGAAATCTCGGTTTGTTTCTTATATCTTCAAATTCTGTTCAACTGCGATTTTACCCTCTTTTCCAGTAAGAAAAAGGAGTACAATAAGAGTTATACATATTGTTCCTAAAGCACTATTATCCCATCCGTTGTTGGCTTATGCCACTAACAAATAGTTTCATTAGAATGCTAACTATTATATGGCCAAACAATTGTGGTTATTTCACCTAAGAAATATCTCAGAAAATTGATATCAATCCTTTTATATTTTATTGAATAGAAGCTAACTAGTTTAGATGCCCTAATATTTTTAGATTCTTTCTGTCCACAATCCAGTTCAAACTTCAATATTAAAAGCTTGTCTTGAGGAAGCTTTATTTAACGCAACCAGAGAAAATGTTATTTATTGCACCCGTCTTCCGTCCTCCCACTTTTTTAATCATTTCTCATGCTCGAGACTAGTTATTTTGACTAATGAGTGGGAATTGCATTCTCATTTGATTACTGCTGTATAATGTGCAGATATTAAGCAGATGCTAAAAGAAGCGCAACATAGATGGCTGAGACCTGCTGAAATATGTGAAATCCTACGGGACTATCAAAAGTTTCATATTTCCTCCGAGCCTCCGCATAAGCCAGTCAGTACGTCTTTTATATACTCATTACCAGTCAATTTTATCAATAATATATCTAAATTATTCAATTTGTATACCTACTGAAATGCTTACTCAACAGAAATGTGATTTACTTGAGTCCCACCATGCAGATTTTGCTTAGGTACATAATGAATCCATATTCTACTGAAGGAAATTGTTCTTGATATCTTTAATCCTAGGAGAAATCACACAACTTTTTGCTTGCAAATCATGATCAATAGAGTTCTTAATGCCATACAGGGCCGGTTCTATGATTGTTCGGGCCCAAGGTGAATTCCACGAATTAGGTCCCAGCGAAATCAAAGTAAATGTAAAATTCAACAGTGTATTATGCGACCTATTGCTAACTTAAAACTAACATTTTAACAACTAAATATATTATAGAAAGGATTTATATTATAAAATAACAAAACCAAAGATTTAATCATAGAGTGAAGGAACTTGTGCCAAGTGTGGAAGTGCAGATTAATCGGCATAATTGACTAAAGATTTATTATCAACTAAAATTAAACACAAATATACATATATTTTAAAAATACGACTTTCTGTCCTAAAGCAGATCTAGAATGAAAGAATTGTAAAATGTAGTAATATATTAGCAAAGTTTTTATATAAAAATAAGACGACGACATGGGTCTAAAAAATACAATCACATAAATATTTATCTTCACAAAGTTTTTGTACAAAAATAAGACAACGAAAGAATATTTATAGACACTCATTTATAAAATTTTTCAAATCCCACGCTATTTTCAAGAAAATAAACCCCAAATTTAACCATTTTAGATATTGTCTTCAATAAATTTACATCAAATCCCACACCATTAGATCTGAGTTGTTTGGCCTTGTTTTGAAACAAAAAAAAATAAAAAAATCTGGGCTAAAATGAGGCCCTTTATGATCTTGGGCTTGAGGCGAGGGCCTCATTTACCTCGCCTCAGGACCAGCTTTGATGCCATACTCCAAGTTACTGTAAAGTAAAGAATTTACCATTGCACAATGCTAAAATCCTTTGATGATATATATATATATATATATATATATATATATATATTTATTTATTTATTTTTTTTGAAAGGTAATCAAGTATTTTATTAATCAAACCATAATACACATGAAGTGTATTATCAATACAAATCCGAAAGAAACGATATAAAATTGGGTAGCCTATTTATATGCCTAGTAGCTACCGCATTAAACCAAGTGTACAATGTGAAATAAAACAATTCTCTAAATTGCTTTGTTGTTCTTGTTTGATCGTCAAAACATCGGGTGTTCCTTTCTCTCCACACACACCAAACTATGCAGCCTAGAATAAGCTGCCATGCAAGTTTGCTATCCTTGTCGCGAAATTTTCTCTTCCATGCATTCAACACATCTTCCATACGCCTTGGCATTGCCCAATCTATGTGTTACGATGCAAAATCTCGTTCCACAGTAAACTAGCAGCATCACAATGGAGGAATAAGTGATCATTTGTCTTCCCATCCCTCCTACGCATATAGCACCATTTTGTAACACAAAAACCCCTTGTCCATAGGTTTTCCGCCGTTAGCACCTATCCTCTGACCACTGTCCATAGTAAAAATGCTACCCTAGGTGGCAATTTACTCTTCCACACCGCCTTCTAGGAGAAAGAGCCTTCCTCAGATCCCAATAAAGATTTAAAGAAAGTGCCGATTGAAAACATGCCATCCCGTGTCAACTTCCACTTGCTGCAATCACAATCTCCTGCCCTGATTTGTAACTCATATAAAGATGTCAAAAACAGCGCGTAGTCATCTAATTCCCAGTCGTGCAAACCCCGTGCAAAAGCAATGTTCCAATTGATACTCCCATTATGACTATCTAAAACATCATTCACCATGGTAGATGGCAACAATGCAATACGATACAAGTAAGGAAATTTCAATCTTAGCGGTTGATCTCCACACCAACAATCGCCCCAAAAAAACTGGTAGTATTACCATTTCCCACTATAAAGGTCAATATATCCCGAAAATTGCTCCACCCTCGTCGGATATATCGCCACAAACTCACCCCATAAGAGCCTCGACTCTCAACTGAGCATGTTCCCCCCTCCATAACATCATATTTTGCTCCTATAATTTCTCTCCAAAAACTCTTCCTTTCCGTTCCGAATCGCTACAACCACTTACCCAACAAAGTTTTATTAAACAGTACGAGACTCCTCAATCCGAGACCACCCAACCTCATGGGAGAACAAACGACATCCCAATTAACCAAATATAATTTCCTCTCCTCTCCTAATTCTCCCCAAAAAAACTCTATTTGGATCCTCTCCAATCTTTTTGCTACTGCAACAGGAATAGGAAACAATGACATGAAGTGAGTGAGGAGGTTTGACAATGTGGACCTTATGAGAGTAAGACGACCTCCCTTTGAGAGGTACATACGCTTCCACCCTGCTAACCTTCTCTCCACCCTTTCAACAATACTATTCCAATATGTGTGCTTTTAAATCGTGCGCCTAAAGGCAACCCAAGATATGTCATAGGCGATCGCGTAACCCTGCATCTTAGTATAGCAGCCAACCCCACCATGTTATCCAACTCTCCTACTGTGATAGCTTCAGATTTCCCTAGATTTATTTTCAATCCAGATACAGCTTCATAGCACAGCAGCAAACGCCGCAAGTTCCTGATTTGCTGAACGTCTGCATCATAGAAAATCAGTGTGTCGTCTGCGAAGAGCAAATGAGATACCTGATACTCCTCAACCATAAAGCCCCTCAGTAAACTCTGCCCCACGGCCTTCTCGACCATCCTACTGAAAGCCTCCATTACAATGACAAACGGCAATGGTTTGATTTTTTGAACTTCTATTGTTCCACACAATCAGGATATGGTTCTCGCGGACGCCTTTTTAACACCTGAAAAAGGAGCATCTCGTGGCAAGTAGAGAATCGCCGTGGTTACTTCTGCCATAACATACTAATGCATCTGTATCGTGGTCAATTGAGCTTATTTAAAAATTTGCAATCTAGTAAGTAGTAATCATTCATTGAAACACGTGGCTGTGAAAGAAATTGATGCAGCACCATTTGGAACAATTAATTGGAATTGAAAACAGATCTATGGAGATGAAGAGATTAAGGGAAGAAATAATAGACGAAGAAGAATCAACAGGAATGGTAGAAGAAATAGAAGAACATAGAATGAGGAATTTTGCCACAAGCCACCAAAAAGTTTTATTCATTCAAAATTGTTTCAATTTCACCACAAACTAGATTTAATTAGCAAAATAAAACCTTAAAGAGATCGGGCTTGGATTAAACCCCTTATACAAGTCCAATTGCACAAATATAAATAAAAGTCCAAAACGTAAATAAGAGTCCAAATAGAAATAAATAAAAATTGATGTCCTCGTCAACTCTCCCGGGGTGGGAGAAAACTCGACCTTGTTGAGTGGGTAAATCACAAAATACTGCTGTCAATCTGATACCCAAGATGCTTCAAGTCATGCGACAGAGATCTTTCTAACGAATTGAGTATTGAAACTCCAAAAATAGTTTGACCCAACAAATAAGGAAGTACTGAATCTTGCCATCGTTGGTCAAGACAACACGAACATCTAAAATAATATCAATTTTATCTTTGTGTGCTGTGACAGATGGGATTGAAGTAGAAATATCAACATAGTCAAGTTGGGGGTTCACAAAGCTAAGTAGAAAAAGATCATCAAAAGAATTAAAACGGCGTTTGTAAGTAATGAAGTCCTCAGTATTTAGATTGGTAGCCAAAATGTGATGAGAGATCAATGACATATGCATTTGGACCAACATGCTTTAAAATTTTAAAAGGACCATCATTATTGGCTTGCAATTTGGAGGCGAATCCAGATGGATGTCGCTTCGGTCTAACTCCGATCATAACATAATTCCCAATATTAAATGCAACATGTCGCTTGTGCAAATTAGCTCGAAGTTTATATGATGCATTACTTACTTCAAGTTGTTTATTGATCTCATTATGCAAGTTATGAAGATGTAATACAGCTACCTCAATTGACATGGACAAATTAACATGTGGGGATATGGGAATAAGGCCTAAAGTTTTCCTAAGTTCATAACCATGAATAACTTCAAAGGAAGTTGAACTTATAGATCGATTCACAAAATTGTTATATTTAATTTGTATTGTTGGGAGGATCAAATCCCAATTCTCAAGATTTTCCTTGAAAATGGCATGATTTAACAAATCATTGGTACTTTTGGGTTGGATAATGGTATGATATACAATATTTGACCGAGAGGTATCGAGAGCAAGGGGTACAACCCCTAGCTTCATAGGAAAAGTCCGGATACTATATAAGAAAGTGTCCTCAATATCATTTAAGTCATCAAATTCTTCAAGTTTTGATTCATAGACTTGATCTTCTAACCGATCACCCATTACATCATTTTGTTCCTCAATGATTAGCGTTCGACTACGACATTTGGGAGAAATGTGACCAAAGTCCTTACAGTTAAAGCACTGCAAGTGAGAGAAAGTCATTGGAGTTTCAAAATCTTGACCCTTATTTTCCAACAGAGAAGGAGCATTAGATGGGGAGGTCCTAGAAGGAACTTAACAGGAGGAGGTGGCGTCGAAGAGACGAAAGGACAATATCACTACACCTCAGTTACGAGGAAGGTTTTGAGATATCATGACCTTTACACTTATTTTTCCAAATGGGAGGGACATTAGACGGGGAAGGCTCTATGATGGACTTATGACGATGTGGCGTTTATGAGATGGGGGAACGATGGTGATCATGCTTTTCATATGGAGTACTAATAAGTAACTCGTAGTCCCAATCTAACGAGTAAGCGTGATCAAGAGTGGTGATCCCCGAAAGAACTTTAGATCTTTTCTTAGGCCTTGTCTAAACCTACTCAAAATCAAGGCCTCATCCTCAATGACATAACATTTCATTCGAAATTCCTCAAATTAAGCAATGTACTTAGTTACTAGTCGATTCCCTTGTGTAAGGGTGTTCCATTAGGTAAAAATTTCATGATTTAAGCAACCATCAAAAGTAGGAATATTTAATTTATTGTCTATAAAGAAACACTCCTTACGACGAGGAAAAGAAATGAGTACCATGACAACTATGGTCTCGTTTTCGCTCACGAACCTGATTGCTATCCCTATGATCGTGTTGAAAATATTTTTGATCACCTCTTTGAAGACAATAGTCTAATGTGGGAATTATTAACATCAATCGAATGAGAAATTTGCTTAAAATTGTTCAGACTAGCAGCTAGGTCTCTGTACTTTTCACGAGTAGCAATCGTCTCGGTTTGGATAGTCGCTAATTGAGTTTGTAAGTGTTGCTGGCTAGTGGCAAGTTGAGCTAACTCTCTAGTGAGCACATCAAATTGGGATGAGTCCATGGTCAATGTACTGGAAATAGAGGCGACTAGACGACCATTATCCAACTGCATGCAATGTAATACCAGCTAAATGATATGCAATGGTGAGATCAATGAACAATAAGTGCAAGCAATGAAAAATAACAACTTGAGCTTTTTTTTTATAAATTTTGGGACTGAGTGAATTCAAATATGGCAAGTTAATATTGTTGATCTATGTAAAATAACAAAGCACAGATAAAATATTAGTCAAAACCTAATCACGTAAAATAAGTGGGGTAAAATGGGGCTTTGACGAAATCAAGGAATTTAGTCACATGACTTTAGGTATATCATTAGAATAACAGCAGCACAAAAATTTAATTAATGCAATTTTAAAATGAAACGGTATTGTAAATCAATGATAAATTAAAAACATTGACTCTCCTATTGTTTGTTGAAGTAGCCGTGTCAAAGATCACCTCAGGAGACTCAAAAGTCTATGCGTCAATCACAATTTTCAGTTTGATATAGCTACGTTGGCAAGGCGACAACTGAATCGTTTGAGTGGCTCTTGATCAAAAAAATAAAAATACCCGCGAATAATATCTAAAAATTCTTCTTTATTTTTTGGTCTTTTTCTTTTTTGCACTAATCTATTACCAAATAAACTACAAAATGAGGCCCAAACCCAAACTAAAAGGCTAAGACCCAATTGAAATAGATACCACCTCTTATGCGCAAGGTGTCTGAGCATTTACAAAACTAGGGATTGTGGCATAGATGTCGACGGCGAGATGGGAAGTGGTTGGAGTTGATGGGTCGCTAGCGTGGTTGTTCCTGGTGAGAGGCAGTGTCAGTAGGATTTTTTGTGTGTGTGGCGGAGTCGGCTACTTCTAGATGTGGAATAGCATGGTGACGTGATTTGGGCTAGATTTGCTGGCTAAGATTCAGCAGTAGTGGTGGCACGATTTGTAGGTAGTGGGCGATGGTGGTTCAGGCAAAATCGATGGACAATGGCGGTAGTTCTTTTTTTTTTTTTTTGGGGTAGATGCATGGGTTGTTGACGATGGTTATTTCTATGGATTAATATGTGAGGGTCTTTGCTTATGGCTGGCGGTCGGTTGTTGATCACTGAACAGTAGTTATGGCGGTTGATTTCTAGGTGATTGGTGAAAGTTGCAGCAAGTGGGTGTGTGTAATTAAAAATGATTGTGTAGATGAAGTCGTTCCCAATTTGGCTTTGATACCAAATTTAATGCAGCACCAACCAGATCAATTAATTGAAATTGAAAACAGATCTATGGAGATGAAGAGATTAAGGGAAGAAATAATAGACGGAGAAGAATCAACAGAAGCAGTAGAAGAAATAGAAGAACATAGAGAAGGAATTTCGTCGCAAGCCACAAAAATGTTTATTCATTCATCAACTGTTTTAATTTCACGACAACTAGGTTTAAATAACAAAACAAAACTCTAACCAGAATGGGCTTGGGCCAATCCCTTTATAGAAGCCCAATTATATAAATAAAATCCAAAACATAAATAAATAAAGGTCCAACTAAAAAATAATTAAAACGGATGTCCTCATCAATTTAACCAAGATTTATTGGAGCTCTATCAGAATCTGCAGGTCTTCTTTGGCCCAGATCACGTTCCATCCACTCAGGGGGAGTTGGTGAGGACACTAAATTCAGACCTCCATTGACGCATTCTACGGACGTCAGAAAAGGCTTGATCAACCACTTAGCTTATGGTTGGGAGATTTCCTGTAGCCTCTCGTGATCTATCCACTCGACATGATCGAATTTTTCTTCCACCCCGAGAGAGTTGATGAAGACATTTGTTTTATTTATTTTCTATTTGGACTTGTCTTTATTTAAGTTTTGGATTTTATTTATGTAATTGGGCTTGTATAAGGGGTTTGGCCTAAACCCGTTCTCGTTAGGGTTTTGTTTTGCTATTTAAATCTAGTTGTCGTGAAACTAAAATAGTTGATCAATAAATAAACTTTTTGGTGGCTTGCGGTGAATTTTTTTTTTTTTTTTGTTCTTCTATTTCTTCTGCTGCTGCTGTTGATTCTTCCGCGTCGATTATTTCTTCCCTTATTCTCTTCATCTCCATAGATTTGTTTCCAATTTCAATTAATTGTTCCAATTGGTGCTGCATCAGAAATTCACATTGTATTCACAACTCGATCACTTACAATGTTGTTACAGTGTTAGAGGAGGGACAGTGTAGAGTAATGCAACTGGCCAACTGACTTGGTTGTATGTTTCCTATTAGCTACTGCATATTGATACTTTGTGTAATGTCAAAGATTATTTAATGTGAAGTCAAATATTGGTATTGTTTATCACATCACCTGGGAATTTAAAATTAGTGGATGCGATGCTATACTTAACGCTTCAAGCCTCGAATCCTAGGCAGTTCCTTTTTATTTTTGTAGTGTTGAAATTATTGATTATGCATTATTCCGATTCTTGCATGATACATAATCATTAATATTCGTATACAATATCTAGCTACATTATCGTAAGTGCTGCATTGAAGCATTAGATGTAGTAAAAGCTGGAATTTGCACGCCATGTCCATCGATTTGGTCTGTTTCCAGAATTTGGGTTGGTGAAATCATAGTCTCTCTCTGCATGCAGATTAATAATCTTTAGCTTCAAAATTTGTTTGCAAGTAACCTATTTTACTTTGCATGCGTGCTTATTCTCAGGTGGTTCTGTTTTTCTTTTCGATCGGAAGGTATTAAGATACTTTCGGAAGGATGGACATAATTGGAGAAAGAAAAAGGATGGGAAGACTATAAAGGAAGCCCACGAGAAGCTGAAGGTAATTGTGGAATTTATAATTAACTTGAAAGATTTTTCTTTTGATTATCACTTATAGTGAATCCATGAAATAGGTACTGGATCTTTCGTCCAAATATCTGACTGTAACAAATAGTCAGTGGATCCTTCAGATGAAAACAGAAAAGAAACTCCTGTTGGATGTTCCCCACATATGGGCTTCATTTATATATTATCTATTGATATCATTTTTCTTCAGGTTGGAAGCATTGATATGTTACACTGCTACTATGCACATGGAGAGGACAATGAAAATTTTCAAAGGCGCAGCTACTGGATGCTTGAACAGTAAGTGTGGAGACTGACAAATATTTACCTTTAGATTCTGCTTTCTTTTGGCTACATCTCATGTACTACGGTGCTAATTTGGTTGTGCCATGGCTGTCTGCTCTTTTTACAGTTCTGTAACCTTATAGATGAACTTAATTAGGTTTGCAACAATTTTTTCAATGTTCTAAACCCTTGAAAAGTAATAAAGATGTCTATATGTAAGACAAGGCACAGAATTAACCTATATTTGACAAGCTTAGTACAATGCATGCTAGCTCAAACTTATGTTATCAAACCTACGTAATAATCATGAGACAGATCAAACATGGAGTTAGATACCCTACTTATTGAACTGAATCCACCCTTGTTGCTACAAATTGAATATATTTCCTGGTGTTCTTGTTTAAAAATTTTCGAGTGTGTTATTGCTAGAACTATTGCCCCCGGCCCCCCTCTATGTTGATGAATGATGTCTCTCTGATGTATATGATATTTATTTTTTTTTCAAAAAAGTTCCACAAATTTTCAGCGCAATTGTCCATTTTCCTTTCTTTTGTTGATATTGTATTTGTAAATTTGTTCCATAATTTCCATCATAAATTAATTTTGGTGTACTATTTCAGATAGGGAGTTCTAAATATATAAGCTGCCTGTTCCCTTCTAATGGAACTTGGAATTTCATTTCTTATCAAGTTTTTAAAATGTGCAGGGATCTCATGCACATCGTTTTTGTCCACTACCTGGAAGTTAAGGTGGGATTTCATTCCACATCAAAGAAGAATTTTAAATTTGTGAGCTTTGGAGAATAAAATGTGTTATATTTCTGATGATAATTCTCTACAAACGGGTTACAATTTATAGGCTATTAGCCTTGAGATGAACTAGGAACTACTAACAACTTTTCCCTTTGAAATAGGGATGCTCTCCTACGATTAAAAATTACAAATTTGAATATGGAAAATTATCATGACTACACTCCTAACCATCTGGAGTAGATGAGGTTGAATCTTCCAACACTCCTCCTCAAGATGGTGAATAGGTACTATCCATTCTTAGCTCCGTAATGATGTTCTGAAACATTGAATTACTTGACCCTTTGGTAAGTACATCTGCTAGTTGAGCCTTTGAGGATACATAAGGTGTGCAAATCAAATCACTATCCAACTCCTTTATGAAGTGCCTATCCGTCTCTATTGCTTAGTTCGATAATGTTGTACTGGGTTGTGTGCAATGCTAATAGCTGATTTATTATCACAATAAAGTTTCATGGGACCATCCCACTTAATCTTTAAGTATTCCAGGGTGATCTTTAACCATAACAAGTCACAGACTCCTTGAGCCATTGCTCGAAACTCAGATTCCGCACTCGATTTGGCTACCACATTCTGTTTCTTACCCCGCCATGTTACTAGATTTCCACTGAGAAAGGTACAATATCTTGAAGTGGACCTTCGATGAACTACTGATCCAGCATAATTTGCATCGGTGTAGGCTTCAAGTGATAGGCTAGTATTTCTTCTGTACAGGACACCTTTCGTTGGATTTCTTTAAGATAATGTAAAATCCAGTAGGCCACTTGAAGATGAACTTTTTTTGGATTATGCATAAATTGGCTCACTATACTTACACTATATGGAATATCTAGCCTTGTGTGAGAGAGATAAATGAGCTTACCAACCAGTCATTTATACATTTCTTTGTTAACCTCAAATCCCCTTCTGCTTCTCCAAGCTTATGATATGGTTCAATAGGTGTACTTATTGGTCTGCTTGCTGACTGCCCAGTGTCCTTCACTATATGGAATATCTAGCCTTGTGTGAGAGAGATAAATGAGCTTACCAACCAGTCATTTATACATTTCTTTGTTAACCTCAAATCCCCTTCTGCTTCTCCTATGATTCGGTTCAATAGGTGTACTTATTGGTCTGCTTGCTGACTGCCTAGTGTCCTTCACGAGATCAAGAATGTATTTCTGCTGAGAGATGAAGATTTTGTGCTTTGAGTGAGCCACTTCGATGCCTAGCAAATATTTTAATCTTCCCAACTCTTTTATTTCAAACGCGGTAGTTAACTTGTTCTTTAAATCTTCTTTCTCTTGCTCATTATCTCTAGTTAGTATGATGTCATCAACATACACTAAAAGAGTAGCAACTTTCCCTTTCTTTTGAGTGTTTGATGAATAGTGAGTAATCTCCCTAACTTTGTTTATAACCATTTGTCAACCTTAACTTGGAAAATCTACCAAACCATACTCTTGGGGATTGTTTTAGTTCGTATAATGCCTTATTCAATCTGCACACCTTGTTGTTTGATTGTCCTTTTTCGAATCCCGGTGGTACCTCCATGTATATTTCTTCCTCTAGATCTCCATATACGAATGCATTTTTCACATCAAACTATTGCAGTTGCCAATTGTAATTAGCTGCTAGTCACAATAGAATCTTGACTGTATTCATTTTTGCCACTGATGCAAAGGTTTCTTGATAGTCCACTCCACATATTAGAGTACACCTTTAGCAATGAGCGTAGCTTTATACTTTCCAGGGATCCATCAGCTTTGTAATTTATTGTGAAGGCCCATTTGCATCCAGCTGCTAGGTAAGTTCACCAATTTCCATGTCTTGTTCTTCTCTGGAGCCTGCATTTCAACATTCAAGGCATGTGTCCAATTTTCACATGATAATGCCTCACCCAAGGTGTTGAATAGATATAGTGTTTTAACTTCTGGGGAAGTTTTTATGAGACGAACATTTTTCAAATGACATAAGATGTGAGAGGATATAATGGATTCTTAGTACATTCTCTCGATTTCTTTCTAATGGCAATGGGTAGGTTATTATCGGAATTTGAGTTAGAATTTGTTACCTCATTTTCAAAATTTGAGTTAAACTCTTGAACTTGCTTTGGGTCAAAAATTGGTGCTTTCCTTCTTGAATACACTTAGAGTACTTGGTGTTAGCACGAGTTTCATTACCCTCATTAACAGATCAAAAACAGCATTTGGACTTTCATTTTGTTCGGATTCCACATGTTGATTTTTGCTACAAGATCAGTGGTGGGTGTTTCTTAGTACATTCTCTCGGGTTCTTTCTAATGGCAATAGGTAGGTTATTATCGGAATTTGAGTTAAACTCTTGAACTTGCTTTGGTTCAAAAATTGGTGCTTTCCTTTTTGGATACACTTAAGAGTACTTGGTGTTAGCACGAGTTTCATTACCCTCATTTACAGATCAGAAACAGCATTTGGACTTTCATTTTGTTCGGATTCCACATTTTTTATTTTTGCTACAAGATCAATGGTGGGTGTTTTTGTTTCTGCTTGTTTTTCAATGTTCGGATTTAAAGGTGCAGTGGCCACGAAGGTAGTGGTAGTGGGTGTTCTAGCAGAAAGGTCTAGTAGGAGTAGGTCTTGTAACTCTTCATCTTCCATGATTGTCTCCCCTTGAAGACAAGGTTTGGTGAAGTAAGTAGTATCCTCATCAAATGTACATCAGCTGAGATATATGTCAACCTAGTGGAGGTATCATAGCTAGCATTTGTATCCTTTCTTTGTGGATGAATACCCTATGAAAACACACCGTCATGCACAGTGATCCATGTTTCCTCTATTTGGATGGTGGATATGGACGAAAGAGACACAAACAAATATATTTGGAACGAGAGAATTTGCTGTGCTAAAGTCAAGGAAGAAATTTGAGAGAATATTCATGGGGCTTTCAAATCCTAGGACTCGAGAGGGTAACCGGTTAATGAGATGGGTAGCTTTGTGAATAGCATCCCCCAGTAATTTTTATGAACATGATTCTTGAAGAGGAAGGCTCGGGTGGTGGCTAGCACGTGGCCATTTTTTCGTTCGGCCATGCCATTTTGCTGTTGTGTATGGACACATGATAATTCATGGATAATTCTCTCCTTTTGGAAGTAAGGGGATAAGATCTGATTAAAGTAATTACTAGCATTGTCTGATCTGTACTTTTTGACGTGAACTCCAAATTGATTTTTGATCATATTGTGAAATATAGGAAATATGGTATTCACATCAGACTTAGATTTTATCAAAAAAATCTAGGTAACTCTAATGCAATCATCTGTAAAGGAAACAAACCAACGAGCTCCATAAATATTAGGAATAAGAGAAGGGCCCCATATATTACTACGAATCAGTGAGAAAGGAATAGAGCATCTTTTGTTGATATGTACGAAAGGGTACACGTCTATATTTGGAAATTTCACAAACATCATAATGGAACTTCTCATTATCGATCCCTTTAAACAATGAAGGAAACAAAATTTTAAGGATTCCAAAAGAGGAATGTCCAAGCTGACGATGTTGTAACCAAATTCAATCTTTATTAGGTGATGAGTGTCTTGAAAAAATGATAAGGGTAATTTGCTCGTACTTGATGCAGGATGAGGGATGATTCCTGCAGAATAATTAGAAATAGCAAAATAGCACAACTAGCAAGTAGAATTCCAGCGAGAAGAAGAAGAAGAAGGCAGCAAGAAGGGGGAAAGGGCCGGAGAGAAAGGGGGGAGAAAACCAGAAAAGAAGTAGAAATCAAGGAAAATGGGAGAAGGAGGAAGCCATAGGCAACAACCCAAGCATTCTATTATTTAATTTATCAATTCATCAACTATCTCAAATGAGAAACAAAATAGAAATAAATAGCAGAACACAAACCCTAAAGAGAAAGGTTTGGGCCAAACCCACTAAACAAGCCCAATAACAGAAATATAAATAATAATCCAAATAGAATATAACTAATAGTCCAAAAAGAAAATAAATAGTAAATGGAAGAAAATAAATAGTAAATGGATGTCCGCATCAGTACTTCTATCAAGTTGTTAGATGTTTCGAGAAGGAATAGCCCGTTGTCCTCCTTAGCATGTCCAATCGTCATCCCTGAATCCTGGTTCTGAAATACACAGTAAGTTCATAGAAAAATACCTTTCTATTCATGTCAGCTGTAAGCTTATGGATAGACATAAGATTGGTAGATAACTTGGGAACATGAAGCACATTTTTAAGGACAAATGAGGGATTAATTCAGATGTTTCCAAAGCCAGCAACAGTGGTTAAGGAGCCATCTGCAGTGGCTATTTTTCTATTACTGGGACATGGAACTTAGGTGCTAAATGAACTATAAGAGAGTCATATGATTAGTGGCTCCGGAGTCAATGACCCAAGAGGCAGCAAATGTCTTCTGTGAGGCAGTTAACCCATGTGAAATAGAGGAATTACCTGAGTGTGCCAGTGAACAAGTGTTGGGCTAGGGCTCTCCAATTTAACAAGCGGGTTCCTTAAGCGATCTATCTCCTCCTCGTTGAAGTTATGCTGTTCTGAACATCGATCGTCCCCATAATCAGTCACAGTTAAGTGTCTCGACCCAGGTTCTGCTGCTGTCCTGCTTTATATCCCCATTCCTTGCTTGATGTAGGAGGTTTTTCATGTAGTTGCCGACATTTTTCTTTAGTGTTTCTAGGCTTCTTGCAGTAGGTACACCATATGTTGTTGAGATAGGCATCTCGGCTTTCCATTGTTGGTTGACAATTCTGTTCTGCTAGTATCTCGATGTTGCCGCGATTCTGTTTTGTTTTCGTTATTGCAGCACCAGTTAACATAGCTGAGGAGACATTCATGGGTGGGGAGTCTAGCATCACTCCCCTATGACTTTCTTCAGCTCGGATTATAGAAATTGTCTCATTCAATGAAGGAAAATCTGTCTTGTGCAAGATATGTACGTGAAACTGATCTAGATCAGTGTTTAATCAGGCGATGAATTCATATACTCTTTCATTTTCAATATAATTCTTCAATATCACGGCATCATCGCTGCATTTCATCTTGATGCCCCTATAGTGGTCAAGTTCCTCCCAAGCATGTTTTAGAATGTTGGCATATTCTGTAACAGACCTGGATCCTTGCTTGGTGGCTGATGTTCTGGTTTTGATCTCATAAATCTGAGTAGCATCTTGTTTTTTAGAATAGGTCTGTTGAATGGATTCCCAAATCTCTTTGCTGTTGATAAAAACATGCAAGTATCACTAACTTCCGGTGTCATGGAGTTCCATAACCAAGACATGACCATAGAGTCTTCCTCGTCCCAAACTTCAAATTTTGGATCACCTTCTTTTGGTCCAGTTCCCAGGAGATAATTCATCACTTTTCCCTTTAGAAGGGTCTGAAGTAGTTGAGACCACTTCAATTAATTCTGACCGGTTAGTTGATAGGCAGACTGGATATTTTGCAAGTCTCCAGTTGTGGAAGTCATGACATTCTCGGGTGCACCCTTGTTGCCCGAGCTGGTGGAGTCTTCGACTATTTCGGACATTGTAAAAGTCGAAAAAGTGTATCGAGTTTTTTTAGCAATTAATCAGAGGTTGCAGACATGCTGTATTTTTGAACTGGAAACTAGAGCACAGCAGAATTTTGCAGATACAGGGGAAAAAACAGCAATGAAGGCTGGGAAAAATGAGGTGTCTATACCACCAGTTGCAAGTTGATTAAGGCAAAAAATAATGAGGCGGTAAAGGGCAATATAGATCGAATAATCTGGGAAGAAGGAGGAGGTTAAGGCTCAGTATTTTCCAGCAATTAAGGCTAAAAGAACAATTTTTCAAGTGCTGTATCTGGCTCTGATAACATGTGAGCTTTGGAGAATAAAATGTGTTATATTTCTGATGATAATTCTTTACAATTGAGTTACAATTTATAGGCTATTAGCCTTGAGATAAACTAGGAACTACTAACAACTTTTCCCTTTGAAATAGGGATACTGTCCTAGGATTTAAAAATTAAAAATTTGAATATGGAAACTTACCATAACTACACTCCTAACTATCTGGAGTAGATGAGGTGGTATCTTCCAACAACAGCAATATCTTTCTCCCTCAATTTTGACGAAGCAAAAAGTGTAGCCCATACATCTCATGAGGTGCACTTTTACAGCATGATTCTTGTGACTGCAAATCAATTAAGGATGAAATAACGCATTGCATTTTTCTCATCTTTTCCTTAAACACAGGAGCTCAAGTCCTTTTCATAGTTAATTTAAGAACTACTTTTTCAAGCCTCAACTTCAAAGAAAACACACAGCAATTATGTCTATGAACTATAATTAAAATTATTTTCTTTTTATTTATGATCTAACAATCAGAGATACAAATCATGAATTGTTGCAGATTCCTTGTATTATTTGGCACAAGATAAATTTTGAGTCTAAGAACATAAGGGATTACATATCTGATTTAAGTTTGCCATTTTTTTTTTTTTTTTACCATCATATTTAAATAAAACAAAAATAAAGAATAAATTACAACTATACTTCCAAACTTTTTTAAAAAGTACAAATAAATTTCAAATAAATAATTTAAAAAGAAATAAAAAATATTTATTTTGAAAAATTTGGGAATATAATTGTAATTTGTTCTTCATTTTTTATTTAAATAGGAGGATGTATTTGTTATTTTACAACTTTTAATTGAGAAAATAAATGAAAACGATGATTTTAGGCTAGCGATGAAATGTGAAAATAATTGTGAAAGTGCAAAAAAAATAAAAAAATAAATGTATGGATGTTTGGTATAATAATATGGAAACGTAGATACCTTTATGCTAATTACCCTTTTAATAATTTATTTGGACCGATTTACAATTTTTTAAAAGGTTTAAAACAAAAGGAATTTATTTTTTTTTTTAATTTTTCCTTTTTTTTTTTTTTTTTTTTTTCAGGGTAATAAGATGAACATGAGTTATGCTAGAAATAATGAATCCTCAGTGTCAAATTCTGAAGAAGACAGCTCATCATCTTCCTTCCGTGGAAATTATGATAAAATTGTTTCAGCAAATGCAACCTCATCGAGTCCCATCAGCACCCCGACATCAGCATATGAAAGTGCGGAATCTGGTATTTTTTTATTTTCTGTTTTAGCTCTTACGTTCAATGCCTTATTTCAACTCGACCTGAATACTAATATCTACTAGCGTTGGTACATTTTTGTTTAGCATTGTTCTGTGGCTAAGGCTTCATACTGAAGCACTTGTGCATCTCGTAATTTTTCTATCTTTCCCGTATGACAACATTCGTGCAACATGATTTCATGCAGATGATATTCTCCAAGGGAGTTCCAGATTAGATTCATTTCCAGAGTCACCATTGGTAGATGGCAGTCACATCACTCCTTCAAGTTCTTATGATTCGTTTACATGCCCAGGTATCTAGTTTTTTTCCTTTTCCTGATTTTTTGTTATTCATTTTCATTTTATATGCTCATACTAAACCTGAAGAGATTCTTGAATCATGCGTAACTATTGAAAGGAAATCAAAATGTTGCTGCAATGAATTATGCGTCACTTGGGCGTAGATATGAAAACTCTGATGGAGGCAGTGCCATATGTGGGGCTCAAACAAAACTTGAATTGGCATCATGGGAGGATGTTTTTGGACACTGTACTGCAGGTATCAAAATATATAAACATCCTTTTCATTTCAATTAGTGTAAAAACTTATTATGAGGTGGACTTTGACTAATTGCTGGTTCTGGACAGATGAGATTGATTACAAACAGGGATCTGGGTGTTCACTACCAGTCCATTCAAATTGGCAGGTTGTTAGTTGTTTTACACTTCCATGACATTCTTACCAGACATCAATAACCAGCATGCCTGTAACATTTCCAAACATCCTTGAAATATTGAGCTAAAAGCTTTACTTATGATGCTCTACACAGGGCAAAGAACTGTTGCCCCTTCATTTCTTTGATACTTGCCGCTGTTTGGGCTCCATTTTTTCAAAAATGCATTTTTTTCAAAACTCATTTCCAACCACACGTTCTCTTAGAAAATAATGTTACACGTAAACCCAAAGTTTTTCCTTATTTTTTAGCCACACATTTCTTGAAATTCCGAACAGGAGCTTTATCTTGAAATTCCGAGTGTTGAAACGTTAAACTATCAACCACGAGCCTCGTATCATGCTAGTTACCTACTTGGAATGTATAATAGCATCATAATGGCAGTTACTTTCAAGCTTGTATTCATCTGCTTTATTGAAATCTTTATTATATCACCGTCATTTTCGCTCATCCTTTTTCCATATGATCTTGGTTGCAGTTTTTCTTCTCAGCCATTATATTCATGAATTGATGTTGGTTCTGTTTTGAGTTCTATTGAAGACAGTGCAATGCATTTGTGTAGTTTAACATGCATAAAATTTGGTCTTTGATATAGCTCACAATAATGGAAGTAATTTATTCGCGTAAAAAATCTGTTCCTTCAAGTTAGGCCAATGTTGTGGAGTCATCTTACCTGTCTTCGTGAACAGGTAGATCCATATGAGAACTCGCATTCAGATATTGGGAATCTGATGGATCCACGTTTTGAGAATGATATGGCTTCTGTTGGTACAGAAAACTACTCTTCCTTACTGAAAAAGCCCCTGATAAGTGGGTTACAAATGGAAGAAAGCTTGAAGAAAGTTGACAGCTTTTCCCGTTGGGTTGCCAAAGAACTTGGAGAAGCTGATGAATTGCATATGGAATCGAGTAATGTAATTTCATGGGGTATTATGGGGTCTGAGGATTATTCTAGTATGCCAGCTCAAATACAAGAGGATTTGGATGCACTTAGTCCTTCTCTCTCTCAAGACCAGCTATTTAGCATTATTGATTTTTCACCAAACTGGGCTTACACAAAATTGGAGACTGAGGTAATTACCAAGTATGCATTGAAATATATCTGCTAAATATATTTGTTTTTAATCTACTTCAAGCTGTCTAATTATCTAAAATCGTATAGAACAAGATATTGGCATTTCAGTAGTTCAATCTTGTGTTTTTTCTAGGTCAACATTTCACTTGTTGAAGGATCATGCAACTGTGCCTAATCTTGTCATTTATATTTCCTTGTCTTGTAACAACAAAGCAGGTCCTGATAGCTGGAGCTTTTCTCAAGAGTGAACAAGAATTAGCAAATTGCAGATGGTCAGTTATGTTTGGAGAATTTGAGGTCCCTGCGGAGGTTTTAGAAGATGGTCTTCTTTGTTGCCATGCCCCACAACACAAGCCTGGACTTGTCCCTTTCTACATAACATGTTCCAACAGGTTGGCTTGTAGTGAAGTACGTGAATTTGAATATAGAATTGGACCTAATCAAAAGATTGGTGCTGAAGATATATCTGAAGGTACTTCAGAGATCCAATTCCGTCAACGTTTTGAGAAGTTAATGTCCCTGAGTCTTGTGTGCAACACTAACATCTCGGAAATTGACACGGAGAAACAAAATCTGGTCAACAAAATTTTTTCTTTGATGGAGAGGGAGAACCACCAAGAGGAAAAAGCGACATCAAAAAATTACATGTCACTGTCGGCAGAACAGGTCCTTGAAAAGCAGTTAAAGGAGAAGTTCTATTCGTGGCTTCTCCATGAAGTAACTGAAGATGGAAAAGGGCCAAATGTTGTTGATGAAGGAGGTCAAGGCGCATTACATTTAGCAGCTGCTCTTGGTTATAATTGGGCCCTCCTGCCAATTATAGTTTCAGGAGTTAGTATAGATTTTCGTGATGTGAATGGATGGACAGCACTTCATTGGGCTGCATTGTGTGGAAGGTAGGGTACTCTGGACTCGTCCTTTGTTAATGGATGTACACCTTATGGATCTTCTCTAATAGTTGATTTGCTTTTACACACAACACACGTTGCCATCCCCAATCAGAGTAACTGTAATTAGCCTAGTCTCTGATGTTCGGACTCTTCGAAATGGTTGGAGTACCCGTGTCGGACACGACACGACATGGGTATAGGTATGGGATATGTATCCGATCCTCCAAGTTTCTATCGGACACTTCGTCTTTTTTTGCTTTTTTTTTTCTTCGTTTCTACTCTTTATAAAGCTAGCACCATCTTCAAGAGGGTGGAAAAAGGCGACAGCACTAGATTTTCCCCTATTCTTTCTTTTTTTCTTCTTTCCCTCTCTGTATCGGTGCAGTGGTTTAGGGTTTTGTTTGTATAAAATTAAAATGGGTTCCATATAATACTACTTAATGCTTTACTAAATCCAAATTGCAATCAAGTCCCTTATTTTTTATTTTATATAATATTTAGTAATTAGCTTCACATAATTGAAAACTAAATCCCGAAATTCTATTTCATTCGTCTTAACCCCTTATTCAATACTATTTCCTTCCTTGTGAACAATTGATTTTGGTCTATTCAAAATAATATTTTGAGTTAGTAAAAAAATTGAAGTTTGAAAAATGTATCCACATACCCGGTGTCCAAAATTTAGATTTTTTTAACCATATCCCCGTATCTTATATTTTAGAAAATAAAATATCTAACACTTAGATACGTACCTGCACCCGATACCCATACCTATACCCGATTCTGAGCATCATAGAGCCTAGTGCTTGTAAAACTTTTTCTATACTTTGCTAGGTTTTTAATATGCTCTGATTATCCATTCTTTGAAGTTTCTTTTTCTTTGTGCAACCCATTTTGACAAAGCTGTAATTGAGATTTCAGCTGTATGGACCTAACAAATTTTGTAAATTGGGGGTCCCTTAATCAACAAAACTGTAGGTTACTTATAATAATTTTCACAGCTCAGCACCGTTTAAAAAATATTTGAATAGAAAATGTTAGCCAAAATATTGGATCTCATTAAGGTCCGTTTATACGTTTAAAGAAAAAAGAAAAGTTAAACTTGCAGATTTGTATTAACATGTTTTATTGTTTACTAGGGAGGACACAGTTGCTTCCCTCATCTCTCTGGGTGCAGCTTCTGGAGCACTAACGGATCCATGTGCTGAATATCCATTGGGTAGAACTCCGGCAGATCTGGCTTCTGCCGGTGGACACAAGGGAATATCTGGTTTTCTTGCAGAGACTTCCTTGACCACTCACCTTTCGTCTCTGACGGTGAATGATCCACAGGATTATGGTGCCTCTGAAGTTTCTGAAGTGAAAGCAATAGAGACAGTTTCAGAGCGTACAGCAATTCCAACAACTGAGCAGGATGTGCCAGACGTACTTTCACTAAAGGATTCACTTGCTGCTGTCTGTAATGCTACTCAAGCAGCTGCTCGCATTCACCAAATCTTTCGGGTTCAGTCATTCCAGATGAAACATTTCAATGAACAGAGTTTTGATGAGCTTGTGACCCCAGAAGAGCATGCTATTTCACTTGTAGCTGCTAAAACGAGCAGGTTAGGTCGGAATGATGGTATAAACAATGATGCTGCCTTACACATTCAGAAAAAGTTTCGTGGATGGAAAAAGCGCCAAGAATTTCTGTTAATTCGACAGAAAATAGTTAAAATCCAGGTGCTTTGCTTATGTTTCATTGTTAACGAGTTCACATTTCATGCCTTGTCTAATGTAAATATAAACTCATCATTTTGTCAATTACCAAACAATGTTGTGTTCTTCATAATAGTAATGTTTAATTGGGATTAAAAAGAGTAACTTTGCATATTAGTTCAACAAAAATTGAAATATATTATGTTGCATGACTAAATAATTCTAGGAACAGATTGGTCTCCAAAGTTCTTGATTGATGGCAGAAGTGTGCATCTCAGTTGTGATTATAATTATTCCTGAAATTGTGTTAAATTTAAGTAAAGCGTTTTAATAATACTAACCTTTTCATCGTTTATTGCCCTAGGCTCATGTAAGGGGGCATCAAGTTAGAAAAAAGTATAAACCTATTGTCTGGTCAGTTGGAATTCTGGAAAAGGTGATTTTGCGCTGGAGACGGAAAGGAACTGGTTTGCGTGGATTCCAACGGGATGGAATTCTGAAAGGACCCAATGCCCAAGGTGCACAGCAACAGGAAGACGATTATGACTTTCTGAAGGAAGGAAGAAAACAAACTGAAGAAAGGTCGCAAAAAGCACTTTCCAGGGTCAAGTCCATGATTCAGTATCCAGAAGCTCGAGCTCAGTATCGTAGATTGCTGGCTGCTGCTGAAGGGTTTCGTGAAACTACGGTAGTTTCCCACACATTTGACTAATTTCACTGTGATTATGAAAATTAGGACACGGAGAAATGTCTCCCATTGAGTTCTTTCCATCTCCGGTATCTAGTGTCTTGTCAAATTCAATGCATATGAATGTTGCTAAACCCAGCTTAAAACTTTTTGATAGCTGCCTATTGCACTCCTATATTTATTTGGGTTTTATTGAAACCTGTTCTTTGGTCCGTTGGAGTCTAGGAAAATTTCGAACTTTTAGGATTAGGCTATCCAGGTTTTCCAGGCAATTGTCCATAATTTTATGGTTGTCATATTCAACATATAATGATTATTCTACTTCCCTTACAGGTCTATGATACGATTTCAAGATCTTTGTCCACGATATATTATTCGTAGTCGATCCAAGACCAAAAAACTTAGTTTTAATTTCCTTCTTCCTTGTTTTCAGCAGGATGCGATTGAAACCAACCCGGAAGACACAAGTTACCCTGAGGAGGAGCTTATTGATTTTGAAACTTTGTTGGATGATGATACTTTCATGTCTTTAACATTTCAATGAGCAGAATCCACGAACATCTTTAGATTTTTGCATAGCTTTTGTCGTTGCAGAAATAAGAGACTGATTGATATTCATTAATATTTTGTAAATATTCACAGGCAGCTCTGTTATAGAATGTGTAAACTGACATTGTCACATATATATGTTTCTTAAGTATGAATATTGAATACCTTATTAAGCATTTGTTTTGCTTGTACAATAACTACAAATTGAATTCCAGTTTGGCCATGGATACGGGGAACTTGGAGAATCCATTCGGACTACAGTACGGCTGGATGGATGGTCTTGACGTGTCTATATCTTTAGGCAATACTTCCCAGTGTATATGTAAAACCAAATTACTATTGAATCTATTTATCAACTAGAAATCTATAGCCCTTACCTAAAGCATTTTTGACCCCAGAGTGGATAATAGGCAGTTTTGTAGTTACCGAATGGCAATAAGGCCTCGTTTGGGAGGGATTTTAAGAATTGATTTTTTGACCGTTAGAAGAAAAGTAGGGTTCACCTATAAGAGAAGAAGTCAAAAATTACGGGTAATCAACTTTTATTCCTTGTTATAGAAATGCTTATAGTCTAGAGCGAGGTATCACTTTTAATACTGTATTGAGTAAATCTATTCATGTATTATAAATCATTAATAAGATTATAAAGGTGACATTTATTTTGATCATTTCTCTATATCTACAATAAGTTGTTTTTCTATAGATGTTTATCCTTTTTAAAATAAAAAGTTCACTAAAAATATTACTACTTATTTTATTTCCATACATAAGTCAGTTGCTCTTTCAAATGGCCCCCACATCCAAGAAAGATTTTTGTCCTCGAAAGGGACAGAATGTCATATTTTTAGTAAATTTTGATAAAATTCATAAAATACGAGCCTCTTTGAGTTTCATTATTTAAAAAAAAATACATTTTTAAACAGTGATTTGACATTATTTCAACAACATATTTTTCAATAAAGTAATATTACACACAGATCAAATTTTTTTTTTATTTTTTAACCACAAATTTTTTATCAATACACTATTCAACAATGTATTATTATCAAAATAATGTGAGTCACACACCCTCTACATGTCTAAAGATATCATATATATATTTTATATAATTAAAAATAATTATTAACTTAGACTTAAATAAAATTTAGATTTTGGTTCACATGAAGTTGATAAATGAGCGAAACATGTAAAAGGAAAATTAAACCAATAATTACTGGGTATTAGTATTTCTTTTTTCGCGCGTCGGACTCGCACGAGAGTACAAGATTGAAATTTCTCTCTCCTTAAACCTCCACTCACCCTCTCTCAATGTCTAAAACCCTTTCTCTGGTTCACAGAACTGGAGCTTCTCTCTGCAACTAGCCGACTGATCAAACACGATTGGAATTTATTTCCTTCTCTCTGCAACTAGCCGACTAATCAAACACGATTGGAATTTATTTCCCGATCTTGATGTATAAATTGTCGAAACTAAATGTCTCCAATCCCAAAGTATGGGTGGTGATCGGCGTCAGCATCGCCGGAGTTTTAATTTTAGCCGAGGTCCGCCGCCGGTTTAATTCCAAAAGCTCAATCAAAGAAGACTTTGGAGCCTTCGTTGAACGCTTCGAACTTCTCCCATTTCCTCAACCTCCTCCGCCGGCCGCTCGCCTCCCCCTAGCTGGTCTCGCCTTCGCCATCAATGACATGTAAAACAATCATTCTCTTCCGCTATGTATTTGTCTTCATGTACTTATATATTAACACACTTGTAGTTAAATGAAATGAATAGCCATTTTTTTTTTGGGGGCTTCTGATGGAGTTCTTTTATCTTAATCCGTGTTCGTGTTCATTTATTGGTTTTCGAGGAATGCATTTCGCAATTGTGGTAAATGTTAAAAGAAGCTGCTGTTTTTGGGGATTACTGGTGTTTAACAGATTAAATGTATGTCGAATATAGTTTCAGGATGTATGAAAAAGATTAATTGGAATTGATATTAAAGATCGTGTGATAAAAAAAATTACTGTGGTTAATTTGGCGTATGCCTTTGAATATGTTGTTTATTTACTGATGTATTTGTTACTTATTTATTTTGGTAATTTTTGTAGTATTGATGTGAAAGGACACGTGACGGGGTACGGAAGTGCGGATTGGAAGAGAACGCACGAGGCAGCAGGGAAGACAGCAAGTTTGGTGACTGCGCTGCTGAAAAATGGTGCAACCTGTGTGGGCAAGACTGTCATGGATGAGCTTGGATTTGGGTATATACATATATATATATTTTTTGTGCAATGAGCATTTTTTGATTCCATTGAGAAATAGGGTCAAAGCAGAAGGGAACTAGTAGTTCTACTGTTTTAATTGAGCTAGAGCAAGGAACAAGTATTATAGTACAATGGTATAAATTCTGGATGTGATACCTGATTGTTGAAGGTTGTAATTTGCTCTGGCTGGATGAAAACTGTGAGAGAATTGCTGAAGTTATTTCTTGTTTGTTGCGAGAGAGAAACAAGGGTGGCAGTTTAACTGGAAGAGTTAAATGGGGAGGCGCTGATGCATTTTTTCAATAATGATTGCAGGATGACAGGCGTAAATGTGAATTATGGAACTCCAATTAACCCCCAAAAGCCTTCTAATATTCCAGGAGGCTCATCTAGTGGATCAGCAGTGGCTGTTGCAGCCGAGCTCGTTGATTTTGCTATTGGTATGGTCTTTTTGTTTCTCTCAAGTTGGACATGTCCAATTTGCCCCCAGATAGTTCCGAGTGTTAGATAAATGTTTGCTTTTTTTTTCACTTCTACTTTATCTGGCATGTATTTGCCCTTGTCACACTTGTTCAGTATATGCATGTTTTGACCTTTATCATTTTTTTTTCCATTTCTGTCTTACTGCAAATGCTTTGGCGGAATACATGAATGCTGCTTAACTGCGCATTCACTTGTCAACTTTCCATTTTTATTATATTGATTGATAATTTCAGGTACTGATATAATTGGTTGTATAAGAATGCCAGCATCGTTTTGTGGTGTACTTGGGTACAGACCATCTCATGGGCTTGTATCTACAACTGGTGTTCTGCCAAATTCACAAAGTTTAGATACAGTTGGTATGTATTTATGATTTTAATGGCTCTATCAGAATGGAACAAAAAGTTATTTGCTTACTTCCAATTCTAATGACTAGATATACTTTGCCACATTTCATTTCTGTCCAAAATTACAGTTATCTGCATGTGCTATGTCAGTCTTCTCACATGAAAGATGTATTTTACCAAGAAGGATGAGAAAAGCTGCCCTATAACTGAGATGATCTGTCATCTTTCTTAAAATAGTGCGCATGATTAGAATAAAGAACAAGATTCATTAATTTCTTTATTTCGTTACTTTTTGTATCTTTAATCATTTTACTGTTCAGATATGTTATACCAGATTGATTTTTCGGAACTTACTTTCCCCTGCTCTTTATGAAATGCAATCGATAATTTGGTTTTCTGTCATCCAATGTTTTTTAAATAATATTTATAACATTTTTTCAGGATGGTTTGCTCGTGATTCATCTGTTTTGCGTAGCGTGGGACATGTTCTACTTCAATTAAAAACATTGGAACCTAAGAGGATGAGGAGGTTTATTGTAGCTGATGATCTTTTCCAGCTTCCCAAGGTTCCCAAGCAAAAGATGGTATATGCTGTAAGCAAAGTAACAGAGAAGTTATCCGGCTGTAAGTTGCAATTCTTCTCTGCTGCAGAGTATTTTCTGTTTCCAATTTTGATGATTTGGTATAGTCTCAAGGAGCTTCTCTTTGTTTCATCGATCTGGTGGTATTTTAATTTTTTACCAAAATAAGTAAAGTTTCAATAGTGATGTTCTGATTATGCAGACCAAACACCCAGTCATATGAATTTTGGGCAGTACATTGCTTCTAAAGTTCCCAGTCTAAAAGTCTTCCGTGAAGAATCAATAAACCAGCAAAATGGAATATCTACCTTGAAAGCGCTCTCTTCTGCAATGTTTCTACTGCAAAGGTATTACATAAATACTTGAATATTTGATCCATTTTCTGAATCTCTGATACTGTCAATCATGCTATAGTAAATTATTGTGGCACATGGTCCATGAACGATGCCAAGCTATTTGTATAAATGATGATCTGTGGTTATCAACTTATAACTTCGAGTCTGAGCATGTTTATAAAATAGCTTCTTCACCCTTCCCTCCCTATAAAAGAAGAGAAAAGGAAAATAATGGAAAAAAATATTACCCTTTTCCCTTTAATGAAAGGATCAGTCTTCAACTTCTTCTCCAAACTGAGATATTGGTTTCTTTCTCACCAGCTTATGGGATGTTGCTTTCCAGATATGAATTTAAAATAAATCACGAAGAGTGGATCAAATCAGTCAAACCCAAGTTTGGCCCTGATGTCTCTGATTGTGTTCAGGCAGCAATCACCTCAAAAACTGACAGCATAAAAAATCTGTATAAAGTTAGAATGGAAATGCGAGCCGCCCTGCAAAGCCTCTTGAAGGTACGGGTTAATATTTTCATTATAATCAAAAGCGTCCTTCGCTTTTGGAGAGTGGCGGGAGATGTTTGGCTTATTTTGGAATTGTTTTTGTGAACGTCAGAACATCAGTTGTTTGGCTTTTGAGTATTATATCAAAGAAAAATTATTTATTTGTGAACTTTGGTAACGGCGTTTAAATATTAGATGTCCCACATATAAAAATCTTTCAGTGCTGGACTTTTAAATTTCCTTTTCCCTAATTATTACTGTAGTTTGACTTCGTCTTACTGTTTTATCTCATGCATGGATGCACTATTTCACTATAATAATGATATTGGTTGTTCTAGTCACGTTAACTATTAAATCTTTGGACTTCCATTCTTGTGGTCTTTGGTGATCGGGTTTGAATTTTGAAGTGAGCTATATTTCCTCAGTAGTGGCATACAGTGTAACAATTCATTTCAAAACACTAATATACCCTCTCTTTTAATTTAAACAGCAAAGATATTTTCCCCCCACAAAAAAAAAAAAAAGAAGAAGATAAAAACTCAGCTGCAACCCTTCACCGAGGCACCAACCCTCTACCTGCTGCTCCGTCACATCAAATTCCATGGCAAGTTTTTACTCTTGGCTCATTTGCCCTCATCATCACATTAGTTTCCTTTTTTTTTTTTTTTTTTTGGTTTAGCCCATTTATTTTTGTGAGCAGCCCATGTCCAAATAAAATTGACCCAACTCCATTTTTTGGCCCAAACAAAATTGTAATTTGAATACCCATTTATAAACCAAAACTCTCAAGCCCAAGCCCGTAATTGAAATCCATTATCCCTAAAATAATATATCTTATTTTTTTTTTTTTTTTTTTTTTTTTTTTTTTTTTACCCTCACGCCTTCCTGATTGTAAAACAATGACCATAATTTGTTAATCTGTTGAAGCTTTCTTCAAGTTGCCTTCAAAGAATTTAAACTTAATACTGTAATATACCTATAGCTCCAGAATATGATTAGTTAAAATTTGTTGGAGCTCTGCAGATCTCACTTCTAGAAACAATAATTTTCATTATTACCAACATCAATCTGAATTTGTACCCTCCGGCCTCCGCTGAACTATGGGTGACTGGGAATTCATCTGCTGATGAAGTGGTCCTCCAAATGTGACCTGAATATAGGCATAGAAGCATAAACATTGAACAATATGCCAAGGATGCCAGATCAGAGGATCTTCTCCAGTAACCAACCAGAAGGAATGCGTTGTTTTGTTCTCAAGTTGCGTTGTAGAAGATGACCCTAATATTCTTAGAATGTAACTTTTATATTGAAAATGACTGATAAACATGATTATGATAATTTGAATAATATGTGTAATTTGAATAATATGTGCTTTGATTGATAATATATTTTTCACGTGATTTTGTGTCATCCTTTAATTCATTGCACTTCATCTTATTGTTCCTTCTCCTTTTCTTCACTTTTTAAGGATGACGGGATACTAGTAATTCCAACAGTGGCAGATCCACCACCTAAGCTTTGCTTGAAGAAAGGTCTCGCTGCAGAGTTCCATGATAGAGTATAAGCCTTGTTGAGTATAGCAACCATGTCCGGATGTTGTCAGGTGATTATATAAAGTATAGTTTTTCAGCTTCTTCTATACGGTTCTCATCGTTTTTTTAACCTAACCCCTCCCTTTCACGGACAAAGATAAATTATTCTTACCTTTTTGACTCTCCTTTTTCCATCTTCTTTTTACCACTATTATCAGTTCTTTCATTTTGCCTTCTTATATTCAGGTGACTATTCCATTGGGAAAACATGATGATTCTCCAATCTCAGTATCATTTATTGCATCCCATGGAACTGATAATTTCCTACTTGATACTGTTGTGGATATCTATTCATCTCTTCTAGAAGAGGTCAACATTGCTTCCAATTCTTCACCCTTCCCAGATATCGACGGTAACATGGAGGCCTCTGAACTATTGAAAGAAAAGGTCCGTTCTCTTTAACTTCCTTTTTAGTATGATATGATTTCCTTTCGTAGAAAGTGTGTCCTTCATGGCTTAAGGGATTCTTGCCTCTTAAGCTCATGTCTTTTCTAAATATAGATCATTTTCTTTGCAGGGGAATGCTGCATACAAGGGGAAACAGTGGAATAAGGCTGTAACCTACTATACAGAGGCCATAAAACTGAACGAGAAAAATGCTACTTACTATTCCAATAGAGCAGCTGCTTACTTGCAGTTGGGATGGTCTGTTTCATGTGCTTGTGACTGGTTTTTCTTTTTCCTTTTACTTCTGAAAGCCTTTTCTCTTAAGGAATCACCTTTTAACAGCTTCCAGCAAGCTGAAAAGGATTGCACTGAGGCGATATTTCTGGATAAGAAGGTGAGGGACTGCAATTGTTATAGTTACAAGTTCTTCCTTTGTGGGTGTGTATGTTGATGATTCATTGATTGCTGAATATTAATGGACAATCATTGGCTAAGATTTGGGAATAGGTGGTTTGCTGATTCATTGAATGGTAAAGAATGAGCCTAGTGCAGTTATTACTAGTTTAATCCATTCTGCAAAAAAGAGAACATAGATGTGCTGGTGTAGCATTGCTATAGCACCCCTCAATCTATTTCACTGATTTTAAGAGCCTTTTATTTTTCTATGTAGAACATAAAGGCATATTTGAGGCGAGGAACTGCTCGGGAATCACTTCTTTTCTATAAGGAGGCTCTTCAAGGTCAGAAATCATTTTATCATTTCCTGTGTATAATGTAATTTTAACATTTATTGCTTTAACCTCCTACCATTTTTACTGCTATCTGAAAAATTGTGTCCTCTTGTATATACCATGTGGAACATCGACTAAATATTTAATTAAATAAATTTGTCTGTAGTCAAAATGTGGAAGCTTTTAGATGAGATAGTTCAACGTGGCATCAAAGCGCACAAGTGTTTTATATTCAAGTTGCTGCCCCATAGTTGAAAATTGTAGACGTTTATTTGCGTTTGACAAAAGTTGTATTAAGCCAACAAGTGAGGGGGCGTGTTAAGGACATAATGTGGTAAAGTAACAAACTATGCCTTATTCCCTATAAATTTGGGACGGTTCAAGCATGGAATATTCAATTAAATCTAATATGATCTTAGTGCTTTTATATATTATTATTTTTTTTTTTTTCCCCCCCCCCCCCCTCTCCCCTCTCTAATCATCCCCCTTCTCCCCTCCGTTTGTGTCCTTTCCCGCTAGATTTTCTTTGCTTAGCTCATACACTTGGGGGTAACTTGCAGATTTCAAGCATGCACTTGTACTCGAACCCCAGAATAAGGTTGCGAATATGGCTGAAAAGAGACTTAGAAAGTTGATCAGTTAAAAGCTTCTCTCCGGCTTTTATCTTCCTACCAATGGAAACATTTGATCGTGCTATACTGATACGTTGGAACACTGAGAATCAACAAGCATCCTAATTCCATATCAGAAATTCTTTGGAAGAAAACTTGTATAAATCGAAGTGGACATTTTTACTGGGATGAGCTCTGTATTAGGAATTTTGCACAAAACTCAGTTCGGCCTTTTGTATATAATTGTAACTGAACCTTGTTCTCGCTACAATGAATTTTCCGTACTGTACGATTGATTTTGGCCACTTGATGTAATTTCTTGTATGCTTAGCTCCATTGCTTAAATATCTTCACTTATTTTCACCATTATTTATCAATTAGCTCCAAAGGGTGTAACCATGATATAGTTGCAATATATGTATTGCAATATTTTAGAACCTGTTTGGGAGTGATTTTGAGAATTGATTTTTTGACCGTTAGGAGAAAAGTGGAGTTTATCTGTGAGAGAAGAAGTCAAATATGATGGTTGAAATAGTAAAATAACGGTCAAAAAATCAATTTTTTGGAAGGAAAAATCGCTCCCAAACAGGCCCTTAAATGAGCTGTACAGTGTACACACTTTGAGATCATTTGACTGAGTTTTTAAAAATTTCTTATAAGTAAATTTTTTTTTTTTTTTTTTTTTTTTTTTGAACTTAGGAATGACAATAAATTTGTTCAACCCGATACCTGTGAGGTCTCGCCCCGAATGGGGTGGAAACCCACTTAACCAGGTACATGAAATAGGTATGAGGTAAGGGTCATTGCTCCAAAGCGGGTATGAGACGGGTACTGGAAACATAGTCCTCGTCACATTACTTGTCCTGTTTGATATTAATTTCAAATTTAAGTTTTTATCAAATAAAATAATAGATTTATCATCATTTTTAAAAAGAACATAAGTTATTTTCAATAAATTGGTAAAAAAGTAATACTATTTACGAACTAAGAACATAAAAAATAAAAGCAATAAATAAATAAATGGGGCAGCAGACTTGTCTTGCTTGGAACCCACCCCGTCCCATTTTAACCGGATATGGATATAATGTAAGATAACAAAAATACCTGATGGGATGAGAATGAGAATGGTCGATCTGTCCCATACTTGTTGTCATCCATAGCCTAAACTCTTCTCATAAATACTTTTATGTATTCCATTAAATATGTTTTTATGGTAATTATACGTTATTTCTGTGTTTAATAATTTGTTCTAAAATTTGTAACGACTTTTGAAGAAACAATATTTATAATTAATCAATAAAGTAATAAAATAGGACAAGTTGCAATATTAGTCCCCAATAATTAGTGTTTGTAATAATTTGGTCCTCAACTTTTAAATTCAGAATTTCTCATACTCTATGTTCAAAAAATTCTTATATATATATATATCGAAAATGATCTCATAAATACCGATGCTTAGTTTATATTAAGCACCGATGATATGACATAACATTTAATTGATAAATAAGTTAATGGTAAGTCTCATATATTTAATGATTCACCAATTAAATAGTGTGCAGTGTCATCGATACTTAGGAGATCATATATATATATATATATATATATACATATACATATATATATATACATATACATATATATATTTATTTATTTATTTATTTTTATTTTGCGTATTACAAAAGACTGGATAGCCCATACAATATTAAGTCCCTTTATGATTTAGTTAAATAATGTATCTAACTTATACCTTTTTGTTAATTACTTATTTTACAGAATTTATCAAAATATATTAAAAATTTGATTTTTAGCAAAATCAAAGTAGGAAGGGAGAGCGAAAACGAGTTGCATGCATTGTAAACGAAATTTTGATCAATCATATTGCAGTGCCAAAATATTTGACATAATGACACATAACAATATGACACTATCATTAATGAACTGTTTAAAATACAATCATCGTAAAATCGTCTTTCGCCACCTAAAATTCTGGCATTGCTATCAGTTTTCTTCGAAAGTAACATTATTCAATTTCAATTTAAGACACATAGGATCCGCATATCTGAACGGGCAAAAGATTCATTTTATCGGGTCGTATATGTAGAGTTCTGGAAAGCCCTTTCCCTCTCTCTTTAGGAGCCTCATCACTCCACACACCCAAACACACAAACTCGAGTGCTCCCTTCCGTCTCGCTCCGCTTCACTACCGTAAGCTCAATTCGGCAAAACCTTCAGGTATCCATTTTCCATTTTGAGTATTGCTTCATTTTTTGTTGTTAAAAGCTAGAAATTTAAGGGCTTGTTTTAGGTTATTCTAAGAAATATCTGGTTTTTACGAGTTTTTAAGTGATTAAACATTGACCCTTTTTGCCAGAAGACTATTTTATTTGATTTTGATTACTGTTGAAATTTATTTGGTTTTGGGGGAAGTTGAGTGTGCTGCAAATTTGGATTTTTTATGGGATAGCTGTAGACAGATTTACATATGGGCATATGGACTGGCTCTTGTGAATAAGAAAGGGTCTAATTTTAACGTTGAAATTAATTCGGTTCAAAAATGATTTGTATGTACTATGTACATAGCTGTAATTTAATGTATCTGACAATTTTTTCCCTTTTCCGCAACTCTAGCGTTTTTTTTATTATAGCGACGTGTTTGCTGCACTAATTTTTTACAGTGTCAGTGGTGCAAGTTTGTTTATTTGATTTGGTTGTATAATTCTACTCTGCTACTTTTCAATGTCTTCTCAAGATACTATCTTCCTGTCATGTGGTAATAATAATATTGTTTCTGTGTAAATATTTAGAAGTATTTATTTCTTTATTTAGTTATTTTGCGGCATTTGGGTTTTGTGTAGTATTTGTTATGCTTTGACCAACACTTTGAGATATGTCTCAACAAATAAGTCTTTCGTTGTTACCTGTGCAGTCAATTAAATGGCAATCATACCTTGTGGAAGTACATGGGGAGTGCAGTCTCAATATATGTTAAGATCTTCCATTACAAATAAATTCTCAATATCGCCTCATTGGTAAGAACTATCAGAAATTATCTTCTCAAAATTGCGGATGTAAATTTATGGTTGGACCATTTTTCCTTTCTTAATTTATAAAATCTAATACCTCATATATTTATTCCACATAGCCATTTTATGATTTTTTTTGGAATTTTTCGTTGCTTGTTTAATCCGAGTGTAGCTGTGGAAATTTGTATGCTGGTCTATTCTGGTCAAGGAGCTCTCTAACTATGCAATATGTATGTCAGATATCTTGGAAAGTGAGCTTCACTCACCCATTAAAAATGTAGGGCTTCGTTTGAGATGAATTAAAGGGAAATTTCTTTTTTTTCTCTCTCGATAGTGATGATTAATTGTCTATCAAAGTTCTGAACCATAACTTTGTAAATTAATTCTTTCACATTCTTTGTTTTCATGAACAAAGTGGAAAGAACAGGACAATATCATTGTTGATATTACTAAAGTAAATTGTAAATATATACTTGCAATGCTGTCTCAACGAAATTAATTTTTTGCTTCTGGATTATGTGCTTGAACCAGAGTCAAACTCAGTTAGGCATATAAGACCATATGAAACTCAATAAGATTTCTGTATAACACCAATTAAGATCTTGCAATTCATGGTTTTCCATATTTTTTTGAACTTGGGAGATGGCACAAATCTTGGAATTACATAGTTTGGGAAATTCAGGGCATTGACACTCAAACTGAAAGCAAGTGCTGCTAATATGTTGTTCATGAGGTTGACCTTGGAGTTCATCAAATAAAGGATTCTGAGGCTGAGAAGCCCTGTTGTTGATGGGACTCTGCATTAAAGTATTTAGAAGCCTAAATGAGAAATAAGATTTGCTCACATTGGTGGAGTAGCTCTCTGTTCCACCTCTGCTTGAAGATGTTGAGATGAAACCCGTTGTCATGTCATGGGGAGAACAAAATTTTTGATAGAATGACACATGGTTTATTTTGAATTGGTCGTTTATCCATCACAAATTTTATAAAGAAATAGATACAATAATTGGTCTTTTGCTGTATATCTATGAAAATGTATGTTGCCATCATTGCCAGATTTCCACTTATTATAATAGGGTGATTGATTATTTATGGTTGCATGATGATAATTGCAAGACAGCCAAAGTAGACAAGAACTCAGTGCCACAGTAGAATGCACTCAATGGTGAATTGGAAAATTCTATATGTACATCATTGGTGCCAGATTCTTCTACCGAAATGACACCAGGTGATATTTTCCATTCAAAAAAAGGGTCAAAATGGTCGTACCACTTGCCTCCCAGCATTTATTATTCACCAACCAAACCCACTTGCTTTTTCTCTCTCATCATTTATTACCCACCTACTCATTCCCAACCACTCAAATTTACATGAAAAGCTCTCAAACCGGTGAAAGCTTTCTCTCAGTAAATGAAAATTTCTTTTGAGTCTGAAAGTTTTCAAACCCGCCGGGGCTACAACCTCAACTTTTTCGAACCGCCGGCCTCTGAAATTCTCTAAATCTATTGTACGGTATGTTTAATTTCCAGTTTATGATTTCAATTTGTTGGTCCATTTTTCCAAAAGAGAAAAAAACTGAAGCCTAGGAAACAAGCGGCTAACTTATTTTTCAATTTGTTGGTCAATTTTTCGCTCCATTTGTGAAATTTAATTTTGCTTATTTTTCGATTTCGTGTGTGAAGTGAGTTTAATGTAATGTAAAATACATTTTACTGTAAAAATACCATCTTAATGAGTGTGAAGTGGGTTTATTTTTTGCCAAAGGGTTTATTTTTTGTGTGTGTTTGTTTTCGTCGCTATTATAGGTTAATGTAAAATACTTGGATTTTGTTGCAAGTCCGAGCTTAATGTTTGCAATTAGTCTTTTATTATCTACTAGCAAATATTTTTAAGCATTTGATAGTTTATTGAAGGTTCATAATTTGTTTTTTGTTAGCAAATATTATAGTGTTTCTTGTTTCTTGCATCAAATTTTACTGGTCATACCGAAATAGCAAGAGAATTTTTTGTTAATCTTTCGGTTCAAAATGTTCTGCTATTGTTCCTATACGAAAGATTCTATTATTTATTCCAGTTATTGAAGGATCCTGCAAGAATTTTTCCATGGTCCTAACCTAAATAATCGACGAATGCCGGTCTGAGCCAATTCAAGAAAATTTTCAATCCATCAGCAAAAACTGATTTTTGTTCCTTCTGCTCCTTTCTGAGGCTATTTGTTTTTTGAAATGGTTTCCAAGCATTGGGTGTAATGAATTTTAAGATTACCATCACATCAGATCAGGTCCAGCCCAAAGGGTTTGCATGTGGTGTGATTGGACAGATAAATATGAACCATCAATAAACTAACAAAAATATTTGCTATCAATTATGAGTCATTACTAGTCAATTATAAACTATCAAAAACATTACTAGCATACATATGATAGCCAGCTTTTCCAAATTCACTACTCATACAATAGTCATTACTTAGTAAGTCATAGAACTTGCAAAGTTTAATCCACATATTAACCACCACCATCTAGACAATTTGATTACATCAACAATACACCGTCTACTTAACACCCTACCATCTACTTAACACCCTTTTTTTTTGCTTTCTCATCGGCATCCAGATCTCGTTTTCCTTTACGAAGAGTTATGTTGAGAGAAATCTCCAATTGGTCATTTTCATCGGCTACATTAACGCACTTTTGGAATACACTTGACAGGTCCATAGTTGGATCGTTCAACTTATATGATCCCGAAGAAGAGCCACTTGATTCACCTTTGTAATGCACTATCTCATCGTCACACGGCGAAACATCAGACCACTTGAAATGCCTACAGTCACGAGTACAGCAATGGAACAACCGTCCTTTGTTTTCGCTATTTTTTTCCACCTCCATCCACTTCACAAACCCCTCGCCACATTTCGGGCATCTTTTCTTTCTCGAACATTCCGACAACGAATGCCCCGACTTTCTGCAGCTATGGCATATACCTTTGTTCCTTTCTGCCATGGAGCAAACTCTAGCACAATTTAAGCTGTTCAACAAAGAGTTTTGCACAATTTCAAATACTAATTAGCAGGAAGTAATAGATCAAGCTAAATCGTGCGAGACGGACTTTAATGTTAAGTATAAATGCAAAGACATTATTGACAATTCCATAAAATCAATAATTGAAGTTCATAAAACAAATTAATAGCCTCAGTGTGTGATTTTGAGCAATGTTCCATTTACATATTCTACATCATTGTCTAAATCTTTGAGCCGTTAAGAAGCTACAAATTTTGGCATGCAAGCTAATATAAATTCAAGAATAATAAAAGACTAATTGCAAACATTAAGCTCGGACTTGCAACAAAATCCAAATATTTTACATTAACATATAATAGCGACGAAAAACAAACACACACAAAAAATAAACCTTTTGGCAAAAAATAAACCTACTTCACACTCATTAAGATGATATTTTTACAGTAAAATGTATTTTACATTACATTAAACTCACTTCACACACGAAATCGAAAAATAAGCAAAATTAAATTTCACATATGGAGCGAAAAATGGACCAACAAATTGAAAAATAAGTTGGCGGCTTATTTCCTGGGCTTCAGTTTTTTTTCTCTTTTGGAAAAATGGACCAACAAATTGAAATCATAAACTGGAAATGACACATACAGTACAATAGATTTAGAGAATTTCAGAGGCCGGCAGTTCGAAAAAGTTGAGGTTGTAGCCCCGGCGCTTAGTAGAGAGGGCAGCCCCGGCGGGTTTGGAAACTTTCAGACTCAAAAGAAATTTTCATTTACTGAGAGAGCTTTCACCGGTTTGAGAGCTTTTCATGTAAATTTGAGTGGTTGGAGATGAGTAGGTGGGTAATAAATGATGAGAAAGAAAAAGCAAGTGAGTTTGGTTGGTGAATAATAAATGCTGGGAGGCAAGTGGTACGACCATTTTGACCCCTTTTTTTTGAATGGAAAATATCGCCAGGTGTCAATTCGGTAGAAGAATCTGGCACCAATGATGTACATATAGAATTTTCCTTAATGAAAACTCATTAATGGCAACTGCCACCACTATTGATATTGCTTACTAGCTCTATAAACGTAGAAGAATGTCAACTAAGCGAGCAACATTTTGAATTTAGAGTTTTGTTTCTAGAGCCATTTACATGAACAAGGCTTAAGATCTGCGAGAGATTGTGATAACTAGGTTCAAATGGTTCTTAGAAGGGGTGAACATTTTTAACCCAAACCACCCAAGTCGAATTGGAACTAGAACAAGTCAACTTGTTCGATTTGATACTCATTAAATTTTGGTCAGTTTTGGTTCTTAAAACCGAGAACCGGACAGTTCAAGTCCAAATATCAGTTCTAATAACTAGAACCAAAATACCATATCTACTTAATTCTGGAAAATATATTGCACCAATCACATGAAAACGCAACACCAAGTTAATAAGGCAAACCCCGAAACAGTAAATAATAATGAGTAAGCTGCTTTTGATTAGTTGATGGTATTAAAATTACCGAACATACCAACTATTTATAGCATTGATTTTCTGGTGTATTAGATTGGATATTGTTATTAGTGGAGATTATAATTTTCCCATACCATAGCTCCCAAAAATTTCAGTGACAATAGATGCACTAGATTTCATTGCAGTTGTTTATTGAAATGGATAGTAAAAATTGCTGTTTTTTCTTATTCCATCATGAGATAAGTATTACAGCTTGGTGGAATTCGTGGAAGGTAAATTATCATTGTTATTTAGATTTTTTTTGTGATTGTAGAACCGGAGCGAATCAAACTGAAACCGTTCTACCATTATTCATGGATCCGCACGTTGCCATGAGTAAAATTCATGTTTACCAAACGGTCTGGTCCGGTTCTTTAAAACCTGGACTGAAACACCCTCCCACCCATCTTTCTTTTTCTTATGAGGGCAAAGGAACATAACAGATTACGCAACACTTGATATTTTGGTGTTAAAGATGTTGAAAGAATTCTCTGAATTTTCGTTTCCTTAATCACTGACTGTGTCATTAGTACAGAATATTTCCCTTTAAGAGTTGTTTGTAACTCTATAGATACGTTCTTTTACTTTGTATCTTAGACATCTGTTTCAATTATATTCATTTTATAGTTTCTAACATGGTATTAGAATCCCTTGCCTTGATTTAAAATGGTTTCTGCTTCCGTTCTCTGGCCAGAGGCTTTGTGCCGCTCGTCCGCTCATATTTTCTCTAATTTTTGCTGACTTGGATTCTATATTATATCTTTTTCCCTTTATTACCTACTATGTTTTTTCTCTTTTTTTTTTATTTGGTGCGAAACAAAATGTCTTATGATTTACGTTCTCATTACCACAAATTGTGTAAATATATTTATTGTGTTATCGTGGTAGTTACCATGGTTTCATTTTCTATATGACTATTGTTTTCTTATGTACAGTATCTCAAGCAGAATCAGGTCTTGGTCATCACCTAGTTCAGCATTTTTTTCTAAAGAATCCTTAAGTGCACTTTTCAGTTCTGGATTATACAATAATTCATGTCAACAGCGAAGAACTCGTTTGGTAGTTAGAGCTGACAGAGTGAGATTTGTCTTTTACTATTTTTCTACTTGTTTTTTATGTAAAGAAATTTCATTGTCTCATGTTATAGTAAATTATGCAGTAGCAGCATTGAATAAATTTTCTGATGACCTCCTATGCATACACAGGATTACTATACTGTGCTTGGTGTGTCTAAAAATGCCAGCAAATCAGAAATCAAAAGTGGTGAGTGCTACCTTGACTCTTGTTTCTCTGCTAGTGTACATTTATCTTGTGTGAACTAATATATTATTCTACACTAGCTTTTCCGTCCTTTTTGGTTCCAAATGTTCCGTGGTTATCATAAGATAATTAATTAAGATTTTCAGAGCCTGCATCAATACCAAGCCACCAGATGGCCTCCACCAATTGAGGCATGGCTGTGACATAGAAGCAATAAACCTTGTTGTCTATGCTGCCAATGAGGCCTAGCTCAAATGAAATGGCCAAGGCACTAGGACCATTAGTTCACGAGTTGAAATCCCATGAGAATAGTCGGCATAGTCCAACACTGCATTAGATTTTCCTTGCACTTAATGTGGATTTTTTTATAAGCGGACTATCTTTGATTTTTTATGTGATTATAATCAAGTCGTAAGGATTTACTTCCATCATAGATTGCTTTTAGGATTATTGCCTCACTAGAAAAAAATTGATATCTTGTCTAAGCTGTGGGGTGTCTCAATCTCTTTCCATTTTTAGCTATTGGATTTTTACACTGCATTTGTTAATGTTGGTTATGAGAAGTTACGTATCTCTTTGGATTACATGAATATTCTAAGTAGTTCATTTGCATATTTTGATGACTCCTTGAAGCAATAAAAAAAAAATTCCTTTTGTGTGTTTTTTGGTAGTTGGCAATATGTTATTTAGATTCCATTTTATGTCAAGTTTTAATTGTTTTTTCTTTCTTGTTTCAGCATATCGAAAGCTTGCCAGAAACTACCATCCTGATGTGAACAAGTCAGTCTCTGCGCCACTTCAAACTTAACAATTAAGCCCTTGTTTGACAATCATTATTTCAAAACTCTTTAATTCTCATACTCATTTTCAACCACACTTATACAATAAAATATTTTACATGTAAACTCAACTTTTCTCTACTTTTTAATCACATATTCTCCAGAAAATAACTGTTCAAAATATCTTTTTTTCCCCAAAATAATGGTCGTCAAACAGGGACTAAGCTTTTGATTATTTTGTTAATATTGTCAATTATTTATTTCTTTCTGTAATCTTTGATCTGTATGCAAAGAGTTCACTCTATTCAAAATAGGCATCTTATAAACCTATTAATGTAAGGGTAGACTAATAAACATGAGAAATTAAATTCAGAAGAGAAACTTGTCTTTTAACTCTGCCTTCTGAAGAAAAGAAAATTTTGTCCACTAGATTTATGTACTCTAATCGTTCTTTTCTTTAATTTACTTATGCTAGTGCTACCTAGGGCTTTCTATTAGTAATTGAGTTGAAGTTAAAAGTTTATAAATCACGACATTCGCTCTTCTGAAGAAATTCCAGAAACATAATTTGGCCCATAGAATTTATTCTTTCAAGACCTGTGAGAAAAAGTTTCATCAGCATGGGAGTTAACGAATACTGTATTAGTACATACTTATTTACAGAGAACAAAAAGGTGTTTTTTTTTTTTTTTTTTTTTTGTGAACTCTATGAACGAGGACATGCGAAAGGAAACAATATATGCTCTTCTCTGCAATCTTATATTTTGCTGAAGTTGAACTGAAGTTTCTTGGATTTTGAGACCCTCCTCATTTCCCCCCTTAATTTTACCTACATTATGCTATTACTATTACAATCTAGGGTTTGGAAACAATAGTTGAAGGGTTTTTTTTTTTTTTTTTTTTTTGTGAACTCTATGAACGAGGACATGCGAAAGGAAACAATATATGCTCTTCTCTGCAATCTTATATTTTGCTGAAGTTGAACTGAAGTTTCTTGGATTTTGAGACCCTCCTCATTTCCCCCCTTAATTTTACCTACATTATGCTATTACTATTACAATCTAGGGTTTGGAAACAATAGTTGAATCAAAGTTAAAGAATACGACATTCATTTGTGGTAAAATGCTCACCTTGTAGTAATTAAGACATACTCTTTCAAGATATGAGCAAGAACCTTCATCGACGTGGAAGTCAATTAAGACATACCATTTCCTCATTTTTATTCTTATTTCTGTACTGCAGAGAACCTGGAGCAGAAGAAAAGTTTAAAGAGATTAGTAATGCTTATGAGGTGAAGTATCTGATCCCTTACCCTACCGTGCCCTACCCCTTCTCTACACTAATTTAGTTGACCGCGCTCGACTCAGCACGCAAGCCAGTGGCAACCATTAAATAGGATTCGGTCATAAATATAAGACTTGTGCTACAGGTTTTGTCAGATGACGAGAAACGCTCCATTTACGATAGGTATGGGGAAGCTGGGCTTAAAGGCGCTGGCATGGGCACGGGGGTGAGTCTTTCTGATATAGTTGAAGAGCGAACCAAAAGAAAAAAGAAAAAGAAAAATCTGCTCCTTGTACTACTAGTTTCTCCTACGTACAAATTTTTCAACACTGTGCATTTCCATGGCAGGATTTTAGCAACCCCTTTGATATATTTGAGTCATTATTTGATGGCCTTGGTGGTATGGGTGGTATGGGCATGGGAGGAAGAGGCTCTCGTAACCGGGCCACAGAGGGTGAAGACCAGATCTACAATCTGGTTTTGAATTTCAAAGAAGCTGTATTTGGGGTTGAGAAGGAGATTGAGATAACTCGCCTTGAGAGCTGCAACACTTGTGATGGATCAGGAGCGAAACCGGGAACAAAGCCAACTACATGTGGCACATGTGGTGGTCAAGGGCAAGTTGTCTCGTCGGCAAGGACCCCACTCGGAGTCTTCCAACAGGTAATGACATGTTCTTCTTGCAGTGGGACCGGGGAAATTTCTACTCCTTGCAACACATGCAACGGTGATGGCCGAGTAAGGAAGTCAAAGCGGATTAGCTTGAAAGTTCCTGCTGGGGTCGACTCCGGCAGTCGCTTGAGGGTCAGATCTGAGGGAAATGCCGGAAGGAGAGGGGGCCCTCCCGGGGATCTTTTCGTGATGATAGAAGTTCTTGCTGATCCTGTTTTGAAAAGGGACGACACCAACATACTTTACACTTGCAAGGTTTCATATATAGATGCTATTTTAGGAACAACGTTAAAGGTGCCAACGGTTGATGGGATGGTCGACCTCAGGATTCCACCAGGTACCCAACCTAATACAACTCTAGTTATGGGGAAAAAAGGTGTCCCCCTTCTGAACAAAAGAAATATGAGGGGTGATCAGTTGGTGAAAGTACAAGTTGAGATTCCGAAGCGCCTAAGCACCGAGGAGAGGAAACTCATAGAAGAGATTGCCAACTTAAACAAGGCTAAAGCAACCAGCAGTAGCAGATAGTTGAAGCTGACTCGCTTTCTCCTTTACTTATTCCCCTCTTTATGCTTCAAAGATTGATGATGTATTGCTTACAAATGTAGCAGGCAAATTTTTCGACGACTCGATCAATTTACATGCAAACTGAATTTAGGGTTAGGAAATTTTGTGGTTTAATATTTGTATTGTGTATAACAGTGAAAAGGGGGAGATATTTAGGGACATACATTTCTGCTATTTTTGTGGAAGTCTTATCTATATTTTTCAATAACTACCTTCTTGATTCTAATTATTCAGAATTGATAATTTCTGATTTGTTGATATCATCTTAAAATAGTTACTCACTTATTATTCTTATTTTTCTTTTTTTACCTAAGCAGGGGATCTATGCTAGTTTTATCCTGAGGAGTTCATTTTGTTTCTGCATCTCTTCTTTTTTGTTTGGAAAATTCTTCAGAGGATTTTGTCATTATAGATGGTTCAAGAAACATCTATGTCGACAAATATAACATGGACGGATTAATTGCTGCTTTGAGTTGAACAGTTTTTGCTTCAGTGATCCCGCGACCTTGTGATGCATGTTCGACTGCTATTATTTGTTTCTATCTTGTTCTTCTTCGTTTTTCTTTCCATTTTTTTTTTTGCCCATCTCTCTCTCTCTGTTCAAAGTGAGTTCTACCTAAAATGTCAGGCTTTGAACCCTTGTACGCATCTTAGGTTTGCTTCATGTGTTTCTTTAGCATTTGGTATTTGTATCTGGGAAGACTGGCTTCCCCATTTTTGTTTCAACTTCAGTCTCCGGTGATTTGGTATCAGTGATAATTGATTCTGGTATTTAAAAAAATAAATATATCACTTGCCTCCTTACCGGAAAAACGAATAATTAGGAGGGAAGTAATGAATTCTATAAGCGAAAGCTGTTACAGAATGATAGGCAATACAAATGAACACAGAAAAATAAAAAATAAAAAAATCCTATCACTGTGTATTATTCATGGTATTGAGCTCTTGTTCTCCTTGTTATTTGCTGACAAAGTGTGAAAAAAATAAAAACCCAATAAGAAAATGTTAGAAATATTGCAGTTGGACGGCGGTGGTTGATGCCGTTGTGATTTCAGTTGAGGCAACAGTGGCTATTTTGAGCCTCACCAGTGAAGGTAGATGAAGTTTAGTCCATAATGAGTTAGGGGTTAAAGTTGTCAAGGAAGATTACTTTTTTAGGACAACCTCAACCTCATAGCAACATTAGCCACTACTATCGTTGCCTTAATTCCTCCACCTCCACAGCTCCACCTACCCCACCTTCTCCATCTCCATTAACTCCATTTTCTCAACCTTTAAAATTTGAAAACAAACAAATAAAGAGATGAATTCTCTTTAAAAACAACAGTAGCGACGGTGGTGGAGTCTCCCCCACTTTCCAATGGGTGAATTTAGGTGGGTTAGAGGTCACTTGATGGGATTGGGTGATTGTGTGTGTGTATGTATATATTTGATGAAAATTGTTAGGGTCCTTCCGGTGCACATTTATAAAGGTTTGTGACCTTCGCTGCATAGTTTTAAAACGTTCGGAACTTTTGATGCAATTTACCATTTCTTAGTTAATAAAATGTTAAAAGACCATTTTGCCTCTTTTAAAATTGGACAAGGTATGATCAAAAGCTTACTTAAACAAATTTTTTGGATGGAAACCCTTTAGAGGTCCTTTCGGTACACCAATTTGAAAGGTTTCGGACTAGCGAAAGTACAAATCAAAATTTTGGGTAAAACCTACATATTTTCGTAATGTTTGGGACTTCTATATAGCAATACTAAAATAGATAGAGCAAACTATACATATATGTATCGCGGTAGGTGATACCAACTAAAGAAAATTAAAGGATCACAACTCAAGTTACCAAGACAAGTCTTATTTAAAGAATCTCTACATGAAAAGAAAAAAAAATATATAATTTCACTAAACTATGTTAATCGTTTTATAAAGTAGCAATAAATCAAACATGACGATAGAAATTGATTTATACAGTGAAACATTAAATTTATTTGAAATTATACTTTATGGCCTGTGGGACAAAGCTTTTGATAAAAACTATTAACATATTTAGTAAAGTTGATGAAAATATGACCTAAAATATTTAAAAATATTAGTATCTTTACCATAACAATATTGAAAATTGAAAACCATAAAGGGTCCATTTTTAAGTTTTGGAAGCCCCAAATTGTGGACCAGGTCACTCTCTGCATCTGTAAAATGGAAAATATCAAATAAAAAATTCTAGTATGAACAAATTTTAAGTCAAACAAGTTGACTATTTGTGTTTATCATTGTAGATTATGATACAATTATTGGGCATGTGTGAACCAGCAAGTTGCTGAAGTTGAATATTTTTTGTTGTTGACACGCGAGACATTAAAAATGAAATAATTTCTTGAATAACTTTCAAAATTAAAAATAACAAGATAATAAACTAAGTAAAATGTTTGTGCTAATGCAATTTCATATGTTATTGGCCATTGATTTGGCATGCAAATAAAGTAACAAATTTGATTTAAAATTCAATACATTCCATCAATATTATTTGAAAGGGTTAAAGTGAGGCTAGACTACGTTATGATTTAATCGAAGTTCGATTATCTTAGGTGAGTAGAGTGGGTGGAAGCAGAGATGGAGTATTTTGCCATCCATTGCGAAAGTTTATTCTTTGATTTTTATAAATATGATGTTATATATTTATAGTATAAATATAAAATGTGAAAGAAATAATCAAAGGGGAATTTACATAAATGTCATTAAAAGTGAAAATGCACAAAAAATTTAATTTGCACCAATTTCTTCCAAAAATGTCAATTTTTTCTTGCAAAATGTCCATTTTACCCATTGACACCTTTTTATGAGCAATAAATGCTTGATTTGAATGCAATTAATGGTTTGATGTGATTATTTATTTTATTTATTTTTAACATTAAAGATATGATTATTTCATTGTAGAATATGAATTTTTGGTTAAAAAATTGGTGAAATCTTAAAAAAAAAATATGCGCGCTCATACACACACATGTAGGAATAGAAACCCTACTTTCTTCTTCATTATCTTCATTCCATCATTAACAATGCAACAAGAAAAACTATAGATCAATTTCAAAGGTGAGCTACTAGAAAAAACGTGGATAAATGTGTGTTTTATTAATTAATATAATTTTTTGTTAATAAAAAAGGGGTAAAAGAAATTTAAAAATGAAACATAAACTACAAACCCTAACTTTTCTCCATCTTCTCCATAAATTACAAAATGTCATTATTACCATTAAGGTTTTGAGTAATTTCTTCCATTCAAACCAAACGCTATTTTCATTAAATGTCTCTTTAATGACAATGTCAATCTGACTTTTTTATTTTGTCATTTGGCAGCTCAATAGTAATGACCATACTTAATATGCTGTGTTGAATAAGCCTAACTTCCACCCACTGCCATCTGCTTTCGGACATTTTCGACATTTCAACTGTCGAATTTGACGTTTACAAAACGTCAGGTTAGACGTTTGAAATGTCAAACCCAACATTTACAAACTGTCAGGATATACAGTTTTTACTATCAATTTGGACATTTCAAAACGATGGAAATCTTTAATTTGACCTTTTGCTATTGTACGGATTTACGTATTATGTAGTGCCACTTTTATGCTATTAAATGCAAACATATTTATTCTAAATTTTTACTGTTGTAATCTCAACATTTCAAGTGTGAGTAATTATTTGAGATTTATCGTGTTGCATGGGAGAAAGTTTGTTCATCTGGATGACGAATAGAAGTGGAGAGAAGACAAAACCACTTCCATTCTGGTGCTGACAAGTATTATCGTAGTCGAACTTTTGTTAATGTTGAAGGACAAATTTGGTATTCTTGATCCCCGCACTCAAATTGTATTGAAGTTCAAAGTTCCAAACTTGAATATACCTCCGACCAAAATACGCAACGATGAAGACTTAAATTGGTGGTAAAAGTGGTTGTCAAATATAATCTCGAAAATGTTCACCATATGCAGTGTACATTCCGAACTAATGTTATTAATTTGTTGTTATTATTATATGCCAACAAAAAATTGGTCGTTATGTTTCACAAGCAAAGTACCGATCATTACGATTACATTAGCACAAATGAGTGAATACATTATTTTCATTATAAACTTAACCGATCATTATGGTTTCATTAGCTTCACCTGACAGTTTGTCGAAATGGAAAATTGATTTCCATGACACCACAATTCACAAGTAAAACACCAACATTACGTCCCGACAGTTCATATGTCGTTCGCGACAGATGGTCTCTGTAATTCTCGACAATTGGGAACAGTAATGGCTCCTAAAAATACACTACTGCGGTTACCCATTATGGACATGCTGTTGTTACACATATGTAGAAGACGTGACCAAAATCATCCCTAACAAAAAATACTATACATAATTTCTTACAAAATGACTATTTATTGCACAATTGCATTGCTGTTGACAATTTAATCTTTTTCCCCACTTTCTCCATCATAAAATGTTCTAATTTCTTTAAATAGTCTTGAAGTAAATGGTAATGCTACCCTCCATTAGACATGCTGGTGATGTAATTGGCCAAAAAATTCAAATTAAAACCAAAATCAACCCAATTATTATTATTATTATTTTTTATTTTTGCCAATTCACAAAAACCAAAACAATAAAAATTTAAAAGAAATCACCTTTCTACCAGAGACTGTCAAGAGTTGAACTTGTTTACCAAAAATATCGATTACTTCGGCTATGACGTAAGCCAAATTCTTATATTCCACTCACACAGTTAATTGAGTACTTGAATGATAGATTAAGCTTGTATTTTTTGTGGTCTTCGTTGGCGGTGGACATTTTCACGCTGGTCGTCAACATCAATTTCAGTGGGGTAGGCAAATCGAATGAGTAAAGAGAGTGGGTTTATGTTTTTTTTTTTTTTTTTTTTTTTTTTTTTTTGGTAGTTGACATTTTGAAAAATTCCCAAATACACTTGATTTCTTCCCTGCCATCTGCACTTTTTATACCAATCCATTATCTAGTCAAATCTCATTTAATGAAGAACATGTTAGGTATTAAAACCATCTAGAGGGGCAAAAATGTTCAAAATTGACAATTTTGCAAGGACTTTAAAAAAGTGACATTTTTGTAAATGCAAACTTAAAATTTGACATCTAGCGTAATTTTCACATAAATCAAATTAGATGAAGTGTCCAAATGGTAGGAAATGTGGTATTTGTGTGGGACGTCAGGGGTTT